CTTGAACTGGTAGATAGCCAGGGTGCTTAGTACCTGTGTGGTTGCGCCACAGGATTGAGCTGTACTATTCAGATCGTAGCGTTAAAGCCTATACGGTGTCTGGTACTCCTGTGAAGCGGGATTGATCTGTACTGTTTGGGCTGCCAAGAGAAAGACAGGATGGTGTCTGATTCTCCTGAAAACCAATGTAAAATTACTCTGGCCCACAAGGCTATATTATATAACTATTTTACTACAAACCTCTATTTTAGCAAATAAAATTAACTATAAATACGACTGTGCAACATAAGTAAATAAAATCGTAGAAAAGAAAATTTTCTTCACTGAATTACTTTCTTTCTTCCTCAATATTGTGAATTGTTATTAAAATTTTCAACGATTTTTTATAGCTCATAAATGTCTACAGGGTTGTGGAACAATCAGTCAAAAGCAAAGTAGAACCTGATATATATGTGTACATCGATTCGAAATGTAATATCACATAATTATAATGACATAAAATTATTTAGACATATACCACAATAGTGAGAACAGTAATGATATCAGTGATAGTAGGAAACATATGGAATAGAAAATGTAGTCAGAAAAGACAGTGAGTTTATGAAATACAAGTATGGATAAATAAACCCGAACCAATGCGATTGATTCTGCATTATTCTCCAACTACTAGCTATTTTAATCGTGAAGGCCTTTCTAGGCCTTTCTTTCTAGTTCTATCCAATTCTTGTTCATTCTTCTCAAGTCTTTCCATTTCTCGGCATAATGTGTTCATTGATCTTCCTCTCCTCTTTCGGCCTTGAGGATTCTATGTGAGCGATTGCCTTGTGACGCAGTTCGGTGCTTTCCTCAATGTGTGTTCTATTCAATTCAAGCACTTATTCCTGATTTCTTCCTCCACTGGAATCTGGTTTGTTCTCTCCCATAGTAGGTTGTTGCTGATGGTTTCCGGCCGACGGATCCGGAGTATTTTGTGTAGACAACTGTTAATAAACACTTATATCATCTGGCTGATGGCTCCAAGTTTCCGCCCCATACAGTAGAACTATTTTGACATTTGTATTGAAAATTCTGAATTCGGTTTAAAAAGACAATGTTTGTATGACGAGTAAAAATGATAGTTGAAATGAAAGTCTAGATTACACTGATGTTAAAATCACATATATTATTTATTTATTTGAACACATAAATATTGGTACAAGGGGGCATCAGATATATGCGCCACGCAATCCATTTTATTTGTGTATGGGCTGGGATACTGCTCGGTTGACCAGATCGATGCAGCTGGTTTTCTTAGAGAGACATACCCCGAGCCTTTGACCTGAGTAATAACCCACAATGCAGTTGAGCATCGTGAGGAGATGCAGTTCCATGAGATCCGGTGACCGACAATAGACTCATACCTCATTTGTTCCCTCAGGATACTAGAGCGCGTGTGCATCATTGGTATGGAATCAGGGTGTTCCAACTCCCCTAGGTGGACTCTCTGTGTCCACCAACCCTATTAAAGCACCGGACATTCACTTTTCGTCCTCTCGATTTCGTAAACAACATCCCCGCCACGAGAAGGCAATGAGTAAGACTTCCTTGGCAGAGGCTGTATACGCGTGTCCGTGTGAGAGCATTTCAAGAATGAGGGCGGGTCCTCCTCACTCTAGGTCGCACCAGGGCATTTAGGGCCAAATCACATATCAATGTAGATTATTTTAATAGTCTAATAACAAAGCTTGAAACATCTGAAAAACATGACAAAAAATCAAATAGTTAAGTTAAAATAGTTTACTAACTCAATACATATGTCACATAAACGGTTACATAATCAGTTAACTTTGAAATGATCAATTCAAATTAACCATTTGGGCCCTTAGTAGTCGTAGATTTTTTCTTTAGTAACCAAGGGAGATTTCCAATTTTATGACCATATTCATTTTTAATTTTTATTTCAGTAATTGTCGAATGAATATTGATTTTTTTTTGTGGGAAATTATAGACATAATTATATGCATATTGAATGAAACCACCAATGAAATTTAGACCATTTTTCCAATAATAATCAATCATTAGAGTCTTTTAGGTCTGATCTCTTATTGGTTAAATTTGACCTACAGGCATTATATATGCATATATATAAGCTTATCGTATTGATTGATCTAATCAAGTTTTGAAAATACAAAAAAATATTTATTTACTTTAAGAGAAAAAGTCGAAGGGTATCTTTCTTTCTTTTCTTTTATTTTTGGTTCCTTTATGGAAGGAAGAGTTAAAGTTCCCATTTTAACTAATTAACCATTATTTGAAGAAAAACACAATTTCACCAGGATCTATAGTTCAGATCTTTTCTATCAACGGTGTTAAAGTTTAGCTTCAATTAATTCACCAAATTGAGCGACAAATCCATCATTGTCTTTAGTGAATTACTATCTTACAATAGACTTGGTTGAACTCCACTGATTATTGCTTCTCATTAGAACTCCAGGAAATACCTCTTGGAGACCATCATTTTAAAGTACTTTTACTCGACTCAGTATGATAAAATTGAATATAAGTCGTAATTTTAATTCTACATTCAATGTTGATAATATCTGAAGTGTTTTTATGAAATTATGTCACAGTTTAATGGCTCAGAGATCTGACTTCAAGTAGATTGTTTGCTATCTGTTATCGATATATACATATCATCAATCCTTGTATATAATCATTGAGTTAAATTGTATTAGTGAATAACGGAATTAAATAAGTCAAATACGAGAATGATAATTGAATACGTATATTTCATACAATCATTGATCGGAAAAAGAAACAATACAAAATGATGCATAATAGAGAAGGCGAATGAGTCAACTCCATTATGCGTCATATAATTTCGCTTCCTTCACTCCGTATCCCTGATTGTCTGTTCAGATCAATGATTATTTGAAATATACGTATTCGAAATCCATTCTCATCTTTGACTTATTTTAATCCCATTATACATCAACGCGAGTTAAGTCAATAATTTTTTATACGAAGATTGACGACATGTGTAGTTCGATAGCAATCATTCATACTATCATAATACGATCAGATATAGGGCCACTAAAACAGTAACACTTTTTCTGTCACTTATTACTTAGTAGTTTTGATGCTCAAATAGAAATATGATAGGATAGTCTAATACATTGATTCATTACACTACTTTTCAATACAACAACGGTTAAAAAGTAACAAATTACTTAGGAAATTACTAAGTCACTAGGAGTGATTAGATTCATTTTTATGATGACTGATTGTTAATCTTTCTGTTTAATGCCTCTACAAAACACAGTAGAAACACAGTACAAATAACAGTTCAAAACTATTCATATAATATCGATTTTAAGTAAAAGTATAATATTAGTTACAATCTTGAGTTAACCACTTAGAACGCTTCATGTATTTTGTGCAAAGTTTAAAGGGCATTGATAGGTAGTGTGTATATTATAACTAATCAAGTAAAAATTGTCAGTATTTGGTTCTTGAAATGTTTGGAATCAATAAAAATATCTATTATACAACAGAAAAGTGCATTTTACTTAGTACTTAAGCTGAATTACAATGCATAAATACTCCTAAAACAGATTGCATGACTAAGTACTTACTTTCATTCAATGTATAATCAAGAGTGTTTAATGAAGTTAGGTAATGTTCTCCCTTTTCTTACTCTTACATTGAATCTCAACCTCAAGTAAACAGGAAGGTGACAAGGTATTGAATTATAACTGACATCAATTAACTGATGTCAGTTTGTGTTGAAAACTTTAACCCTAATTGATAAACCCAACTGAAAACTTTAGTTAAACTATTAATAGCTAACATCAACCTTTTTACATGTTAACCGATGTCAGTTGGTGACGAAAACTCTCTGAAGTGACAAGTCTAACTTACAATACTATTCCAACTCCTAATATATAAATTTCACTTTTCACTTTTTCTATGAGGGATAATTTGACATTTGAAAGTTAATAATTCAGATGGAAGCTATTATTCCACTGTCATTTGATTGTTTTATAACTAGGGAATGTTTGTTGACTGACTTACAAATTGTCCAAAGTCGTTAGTGTTGTATGCTTTTACCGAACTTTATCAATCAGTTTACAATCAAATGACTAGCCTAAACGACTCATTATTGTGTACACTATGTACACGATGTTGATTAATTGAGGATAGTTGACAGATAAACGTAGATATCAGTTTCGTACTCATCAACATAACATAGCTGCAATCATGAAGATAATGATCCCTTTTGTAGTTTCTGAACTCTACGTCCATGATTTCTTGCAAACAGTCTCCAATAGCTTAATAATATATAATGGTCATGAAATACTAAATAAAACATTCATAAGTTGTAATTCTTTTTCTAATATGGACTCAATAATTTTATTCCCATTTCTATCTCGAGCAATACTATTCAGTATTTATTTTCGTTTATATCTGTTTATTAAGTAAAATCAGTCAGTCATTCAGCTACAACGTACGACCAGGCACATATATGCATCGGTCCAAGTTGCCATACCGCATTAACAAAACAAGATGAACACCGGATCCATAGAAGTGGTTAATTCAGTGGTTGTAATATATAAAAGAAAGATTGCGTATAAGAACATAGTACAGGAAGAAAGAATTAGTTAGTAGAAAGAAAGATATGAAGTGATTTTAATCTCATAGTTTAAAGGAAGACAGAGTGTGTACACACCTACACCATTGTGATGGATTCTGAGCCATGTCACCAAGAGTTTCCAACCATTAGTTACGATAGTCACGCGGACGCCAACCGAGTTGTGTGCATCTACCAACATGACTTAGACCAGAAGTCAGTAACTTCATTCAAGCACTGATACCACGTTTTGGTTAATGAAATGACCAAGTGAATTAAAACCGACAATTTACCAAAAATCAATAACATAAGTCAATTTTATCACTCAATAGATCATTAACTTGACAATGTCTAATTATATTATTATTAATATTAACTAATCAATTCACAGATTATGCACGATGAGGTCAGTGAAACAGAAAATATACGCAAAAATTTGGCTATTGAACGTATGATTGTAGATGGTTGTGATTTATTGCTTGATGTTAATCAAGTATTTGTACGTCAAGGTAAGTCAAGTTAATGATAAATCTTTTCTTAGTTCAATGAATATAATCTATTAAAAGTGTACTATTTTGATGAATCAATCAGATTTAAAGAGAAGAAGAGATTGAGTTTTTGTACGTAACCTAAAACACTAGGATAAATAATTGAGCTTTTAACATTGAAAACGTGGATGGACTGAACGATCGTTTCGTCCCAGCAATGGATTCCTCAGCACTATGCAACCATGAACCCACATCCTGGGTCGATTACCAAGATGCTTAAAATTGATATATAATACAGAACTAAGAATGAGGGATGAATATGAACGATTCTTAAAATCTTATGATAGAACAGTACAAAAGCAAACAGAATTGAAATATATGTAATATTTTGAAATGATTCATGAATTATTGAAGATAATTTAATGACTCTTTACTAAAACCTCTAAGCCCAAACGGCGAGACTCTAATTTATGGACGAGCCAATTGGAAGCATTTGAGAGATTTCAAGGTCACGGACCAACTTCAGCGCTTAATGCTAATGTAAGATCAGTTCATAGGGAATTTTGTACAAAACGTGATTATTGAGCGGCTATAACAAATAAAACGGCAAGACTATAATTTGTAGACGAGTCAATCAAGTATAAGATAACAGATCTCGGTTTTTGGCGCGAAAGCTCTTCGTCCATTCGGCTAAATAGATTTCTAGCATTATAGCTGATGTCATTTCGTGATGAAAATCTTATACATAATTAATCCCTAACTAAGGCAAATTATGACAATTATTGTGAACTGGATAATAAAAGCTCCAGTAACACTGGCTGCAGCCAGGTACTACAATATATACGGATGATTGGAGAGAGTACAGACTCCTGCATCGTGTTGTTATCCACAAATGGCATTTTGTGTACTCAACAACCGGAGTGCACACAAATAGTATTGAAGCTATGAGATCGATGTTGAAAGTTTTTGAGGCTTTATCATGGCTCTAGAGGCCGACTATTCTGTAGACGTATGGATGATTTCCTCTACTGCATGCCTTACGATTTTAGAACCTCTGAACCTATTTCTAACCTTGACAAGTTTTTGAATCATGAAAAAGAAGTGTATCCACTTTATTTCTTTGGTTTTATATAATATATTTTACTCTATATTTATTTTTTGCTGATTGGCTTATATCTATCAAGGTCATTTATGATTCGTTCAAAGGTCGTCCATAAATTATAGTCTCGCCGACTTACCTTCTCGTAGTGATTGAGGGGTCACCGAAGTTAAAGTGTTAGGTAAACTATCAATGAAACTTCTCACTTCTCCCCGTGATCTGTTAGTAGTACACAGTTTATTAGTTAAGCAATCTCAATCTTGATATTCAAGTATTTTACTACAGTTAATCTCCTAGTTTATTGAAATAATTCATTTACGACATATAGACTTCGGTTTTTAACTTAAAAGTGGTATTCTTAAAATATTACTACACGTTCATTTTACCAACAAAAAAAAAACAAACAATTTTTCATAATTTGGATCATTGAGTAATGTTAATTAGGCAACCATTAGGAAATAGAAAGAAATGAACAGCTATTTCGTCTTAGTATAGGATTCATCAGTAGTGTACATCCATCATATCTCCATTATAGGAGATAGAAGAGTGCCTAACTTTTAGATAATTAATCTAGAATGCAATCAGTTACATGTTCAACTTAAATGTTTGCAATGTGAACTGAAGATACTCGACTTTATCTTCGATGTGGGTCATGGGTGGGAATTGCTATAGTGTCTCATATTAAAACGAGATTGCTACACAATACTTCCTGGTTTTTAATAGTTGTCTAACTAAGATTAATCTGTGATGTTAACCATGAAACTCAATAATCTTCACAAATCCTTAGTAATAACACTATTTTCATTGCATAAAGTCATCTATGATATGAGAACAATGAAATTATTCTATTTGTAGTAGGCATCAATTTACCATAAACTAATGTATGATTAAAATGAATAAAACTTTATATGAACATGTGAGTATATAAGGTGTTCGACTGATTATTTGTATTGTTATGAATAAGGTAAATAGCTATATGACAATTACTCAAGAAAACGGAATAATTGATGCCGAACCCATTAATGAACACATTCAAGATGAAACAAGCATTAAGAGTCGTTTAATAGAACAAATCAAAAAAGCCACATACATAATATTGGATAAAAAATAATGATTATATAATAACAATATTTTTAATAAGCTACACTTGTTCTTCTTTGACTAAAATCATCTGTTCCTTCAAAAGTACAGTTATATCGTGCTAATCAGTACTAAATAACATGAAACATAGAGGAAATGGGGACTTGTGGTTGATCCCAATATCACATAACTTGTGACCTATGTGCCCTGTTAATGTATGACGTGATGATACTGCCAATTAGAGAACAGTGAATTATCGACTGAACCAATGACGCATAAAACAAGTATGAGCAGTCTAGAGTACTTATCGGTCCTGCATTCCGCCTAGCCCAGCCAGTTAAGTCCAGAACACCAATCTCAGCCTCTGAGATATGAATCATATATTTCAAACAGACTAGGTTCATATACCAACCAAACAGACCATACCGTACCATAAAAAAGGAAACGACATTTATACAGGATGTAGCCGAATGTAGTTGTGAGTGTTGGAGATAGTAATCGATAGACAGGGCATAAATCAAGAATGGTAAATTGTATAATAATAGTTCATGGGTCGAAACAAAGCTCATAATGAGAGGGACATGAATATGAATAGTTTAGTCATTTAACAATTATGCGATAAAAATATACGTATACTATTAGTCCATAAATGGGTCCCAAAAGTTACCATTCATTATTACCACAAAATTAACCACTGGAAACTATGATAACTTCTGTCTTCGAATAATAAACCTGTTAAATCTTGATGAAAGCAACTATTTGTTGACTGTTTCCAATTGCCTATGGTAATTGCGAATTATGGAACGATTGATCTCATCTACAAGGGATTATCTTTTAGATGACTATAGTTACTCTGTAACGCTATTTGAACTACCTCTCAATACAATATTTATACTAAAACAGGGTTATATGATTCATCCAATGAAGAAATATGAGTTTTTGACTGCCGCAATATTTTATTCCCTGACACAAATTCCCACTCAAAATAATTTGTGAATCATATTTTTTCAATTAATTTAACTTTATATCTCTATACTTAACTGATAACACTTCATTCTGTATCAACTTGATCATTTCTGTAAATTGGTATGTATTATATAATTATATACATAATTTATTCAAACTCTTATACCTTGGAAAGAAAGGAAGAGGTAGGTTATACGAGAGAAGGTTTACTTTGAAGTAGGTAACATTACCAAGGTCAATGTCATGTCATCCTGGTTAAGGTAATTTATGTGAGGCAAGTTTGTATATTTGTGTGTGTATGTATGGTCAGGGATGAGAAAAATGTGACATTTTTGGTGAGGAATGATAGAGTTTAATTTGTATGCACAATAATAGTATGAAATGTGAATAATATTGGAGATGGTAGCTTGGATAGATAGTCCAAGTCGGATGGATAGTGAGAACTTCTTTTTCTATTGAGGACAGCTGGATTAAGCGATATACAGAATGTTTCAGTTCTTCGCTCTTTTAGCTGTAAAAGGTTTTTTGTATTATTTTGATATCAATTTGATGGTTGTTGAAAATGATGTGAACTGCTACTGATCAATTGGACTATTATTTGACCCATAAATTATGTTTTTTCCTTACCCCTTGATTAGTAGGTAGCCTCATTTGATATTTTGTCTCGAATCCATTCTTGTGATACAATCATTTCTATCCTCCTATAGACATATATTTTCCAAATAACTATATATACGAATGTACAGCTTAAGTGAAAGATTTCGTCGCTGAATTCTCTTTTTCTTATTTAATGACGCCATAGGCTATTTTTAATTATCAAACTGACTCGTTGAAGTATTCCCACATGTTAGACAAAAATACACACACATACAAGCCTATACATTCATTCAATCAAATTATAATCAGAATGGGGTTTAGTGGATACTATAGTAATTCAATAGTTGAATTCATTAGTTAATTGAAACTAGACCAATATGGAAAACCTGGAAGAACTAGTGACAGGCTTCAATAGGTATTGCTTAGAGTTCTAGTGAGAAGCAGTGACTAGTGGAGTTCAATTGTGTCTGTTGTGAAATAATAACTCACTGGAGATAATAGTGGACGGTGGCTCAATTTCATAGATTTGGTTGAAATTAGACATTAACACTAGTGAATGCTGGCTCAGTAGCCTAGAGGTTAAGTATTCGCACGCGAAACCAATAGGTCTTGTGTTCAAATCTCGCAAGGCTGAATCGTGGATGTAAACTGCTGAGGAATTCTATACTAGGATGAAACAGTCGTCCAATGCTTCCAAGCAGTCTAACTTCAATTGGCTCCTGAATTCAACTATTACCAATTACAATCAAATTATATTAAATAAATAAAAAAAAATAATACTCAATGAATAACAAATGAAGACTAAATGTTCAATAGTCAATTTTTTCATTCTATTTGTTTATATTTATTCATATAATTTTTTGTTTCAGTTTATCTGATTTTCATTGTTTTTAGTTAACGGTCATATGACCTTAATTTCATTTATCTGGTTAATGTTTTTCGGTAAAGAAATAAAGTTTAAACCCTAGATCTTTTATTGATTTCAAATAATAATTGTTATGATAAATAGGTGAAAAACTTGAAAGGAAATATAATAAAAAGAACAATCATTATTAGGGAAAGATAAATCCAGAGAAGTATTAGTAGTAATAGTAGTAGTGGTGTAGTAAACAAAATCACCAATGGGAACAATCGAATGTATTAAATTACAGAATTACTTATTAAAATCTAACAACCATATAGTGAATCGTTCATTTGCAAAATAACAATCTATCATATCAAACTTGACTGTTCCTGTTGCAAACATCAATTGATTGTCTGTCCTTTCATTGTTAATAAGTTTCCATACAAATTCCTTGTGTTCTCGCTCTTCCTATCTTGATCTTTCATCTTCTACTGTTAGACACTACGTTTAAAACTCGCGTTATATACTACTTATGTCTACATAAGTAGCACACACCACAGTAGTAGTAGAAATGGTAGTAGTAATAGTAGTTGTTGTAGTAGTGTTGTGCAGGTTACTTATATCCATATAATTAGAATACAAAGGTGATCAGGCATAGAATGTATTTCAGCAGAAGATCTATAAGGAAAGAACGGAAACAGAATGCAATTGGTATGAAATGCATGAACAATGAAATCTGAGACAATGGACTGATATTCTCAAAAGGAACAGTGAAGTTTGAGACGATGGATTAATATTTTACAAATTAACGATTTACCATATTGTTCTCAGATTTTAGTGAAATACTCTGTAATTTTGTACTCCAATACGTTCGATTGTCCCCACTCGTGTTCTTTGTTCACTACAGCAGTAGTAGTACTCGTAGTAGTGGTGGTAGCAGTAGTAGCATTGTGACATACTTGTTAAAATAACATTGAATATCATCAGAACTTTTCAAGACTGTATAGAATTCTTAGGATGAATAGTCAACGTTTATAATAAAATCAATCATATATTAATATTGGAATTAATGGGGAAAACTTGACTGACAAAGAAATGATTTGGATGTCATAATGTTCTCTGAGTTGGATATTTCCTTGAAATATTTTTTTTTGAAAATTAACCTAACATCTTCACTTATCTAGGTTGGTATTGTTTTGTTCTTCAGCTGGATAAATGAAACATCATCTAAAGTATGAGACCATTAATTTGGCTTGATAATTTGCAACTAGATTTATTGATGAAAGTCAATAGGAAGAAATGATTAAAATTTACTTGATGATTAATTTCATATAGAGAATGGTGAAAATCGTTTGTATAGACCTCGGAGTTTGAGATAAACAAAGAGGGAACCCTTTCCAGTTACTGCACCTTTGAAATTGTCACTAACATTAATGTATTAGATCTATTCACGGAATGTATAAGAAATTTCAAGGAGAAGGTTATCAGGATTCTTCAGTTACGTCATGAAGACTTAGGAAAAGATTAGTAATCGAGGAAATGGTACTAGTCGGGAGGAGGGAGATTGTATATACCTGTTTAATTTATAGAGGATATACGCCCTAGACTGAAGTACCACTGTTATTTCATTCTATTACGGGAATTTTATGCAATAAAATACATCACAAATTTATTGAAATTGAAAATGCGAATCGTTGAGTACCACGATCACCAGACTGGTATAATTGTTAACCACTTGCCTCGAGATCAGCAGGTTCCATTCTAGGTCTTTATTTGGGTGATGGGCGCGATAGTCTTGGAGTTTGACAGGACAGATAAAACAGCTTTCCAGTTTCCTCTAGTTTCTCTAATGGTACCCCAACTTAGGTCAAATGATAAATACCACTCAAAACATTATGAAAATGGATCATTTAACATGAGCAATATTGAACATCAAAAAGACAAATATATTCTTTTACAATATAATTGTAATCCATAATCCTTTATGGCCTCGAGAGTAAAATCACCAGAGAAATAACACATATCCGCATACATATAAACACTTTTTTGATCTATTTCCAGATAACTTTTCTGTATATATCAGCTTCAACTCAATTTCGTGGAATTAGTTTAAGTTAGACATTAACACCGTTGGATGCCAGTCGGCTCAGTGATCTAGTGATTATACGATCGCGCGTGAAACTGATAGGTCCTGGATTCTAATCTCTCGGGGGGCGGGATCGTGGGTGTGCACTCCCGAGTAATCCCACAATAGAACAAAACGGCCGTCCAGTGCTTCCAGGTTTTCCATGGTGATCTAGCTTCAATTGACTCATGATCTCGACAAATGAAATTACTGTAATATCCACAATACCCCTTCTGAAATTAAATTTTGTTTTCTTTATTGATCAGGTACATTAATTCAAGTTATGTGTGACAAATTACGTTCCTCTCGTTCAAGATTAGGAAATTTCGGATCATCTTATCGTGAAAGAAAAGAAGCTGTACGTCAAGTATTTTTATTCACCAATCATTTATTGATTACTGCTCGTACTAATAATGGTAAATTAAGATTGGTCAAAGTAAGTTCTTGAATATTTATTGATTTGTTTTAATCAAAATTGGGATAATATATTGATTTTGAAATTCATTGTACATATATTTCTTTCTTGTATCATGATTATCTAATATATAGCTGTATAGGGGTAACTCATTCTAGATTTACATGTGTCAATTAAGACTGATCAAAATTCAGTCAACTGTATCAAAAACAGAATAATTCAAACCAATCCTAATAGTGATATAAAGATCATACTCGTTGCGAAAACATATAACTATCCAGACTCGGTAGTTCAGAGGGTGATATATCCAATGTCCGAAGAAGAAAGCTTTGGGTTCGAGTCCCAGATTGTGCATCAACACTGGGATACGACAGATACATCTAGCTAACGATTCTCAGATAGAACGAAATGTTCATCATGGATTTCACTACTACCCACATTCCATCTATCCTGTATGTTTTAAAAATAACTACAACTCAATTGACAGTGTAACTGTAAAACATATAATCCAGTGATCCTACCAGTTTTATTATCCTTTAGTTAAAAAATAACTTTAAGCTGTATTCGATTTATCAAGAAACTTAGTGTTTTATTATGTAAGATTACGACAACAGGGAATTCACCAGTGCATATCACCGTAATTGGTTGTAAAGTTTTTTTTTCAGTATATGCATTCAACCAATAATAATGAAGCATTTATATTACTCAAATTAAAACTATATACATCCAAAGCCTGTATCATGTAACACTTTCAGCTTGGTGAAATTTAGCTGCCAGAATATGTTATTCTTTTATCATACTACTATGATGAAGTACAGAGATAACAATTCATTTATTCAACTGAAGTACTGATAATTCAGTTTGAGTATTATAAACAACTGTTATGGTAAAATAGAATGACTTTTAGAGAATTCTCACCACTTTTAATCAATCAGTCAACCAATCAATAATAATAATACTAATTTATATTCTGAAAAAAATAATAATTACAGAATTCACGCCAGTTTACAGGCATAATCAATTTGGTAAAAATAGTATCATCATATGTACAGAACAAACATGTGATAGGAGTTTTAAGGTTACTAGTTCAGTAATTGTTTAGGTAATACATATATTACAACGATCCAATGCATCAGCCTGGAACATTTAATATTTCTTAACTGAACATCCTGTTGTTTTATAAACAGAGTAATTAAGGTCATTTCGTGTGCCAGATCGAATTAATGATAATTATTTACAACTAAAGAAATTAAAACGAAAACAGAGAGCACGGAACAACAAAGCAGTAATTACCGAAATATATCAATCAGATCTACCAAAATGCGTATGTCATATGACACAGTGATATACTGTTGATGTTATTCAAATTAGTTAAACTTGTTGGGGACGGTGTTAACATAAAGTGACAACAAGTAGGTGGTTTTACTTATAGAATGCACTAATAAAGATGGCTAAACATTTAAAGTTCCTTTAATAACACTTGTGGAGTGAGATACACTTGCCGGTGCTAGAGCATTCAATGCATTTTCAGAGGAGCAATATGCATCAATGCTAAGAACAAATAATGAGAGTGATTTTATCGTACGGATATGTTGTGGTAGTTTATTCCAGAGTCTAGAAAATTTACAGGCAAAGTAATTCATATAAAGAGATGATTTAGAATAAGTTTGTTTCACCAGTGCCAAGGAATTGCGGGTTTCATAATGAGGAGTTTTTGCACATTGAATCACGTGATTGGATGTAAAGGATAGTTTATTAAGTAGTTTAAAAAAAAGATAAGATTTAGTTTGAGTCTCCTCTTCCATAAAGGGTCCAGTCAAGTTTTTTACATCTAGGATTATAAGTTAAAGTACAATCAGCTCCAAGAATACGTAGTGTAAATCGTCTCTGTACTGATTCCAGCCTTAATTCATTCTTTATGCGCGCACTACTAAGAATAAACGTGCAATATTCTAGAAGAGGTCGAACATTAAAATACGTGATTCATTGTTATGAAGGTTTCGAATTATGTAACCTACTAGACGTTGAGACTTAGAGGTCTGTTTCGATATCTGTTCTGTAAGCGACAAGTCTTGGGAGTATCTAAGTCCTAAGTCTACTACTGTATGTAACCTAGATAACACTTCTCCATTTATGGTAAGGTATAGGTTGAGTGATGTATCGCCGAAGCATATCCATCCACATTTAGCCGTATTAAGTCCCAGTTTCCATTTTAAGCACCACTGTGCTACCTTGTTAAGCTCCAAGTTGATGCAATTTTGCATATTTTTCAGCTCATGTGGAGAAAATGAATATACTACTTTAAGATCATCTGCATATGGAAGGGGTTTACCTACACAAAAATTTTCACAAATGTCATTGATAAGCACTAAAAAGAAAAAAGGGCCTAAGACACTACCTTGTATTACACCAGTTCTACCAGGGACAGCGTTAAACAATGAAGAGTTAATTTTAACTATTTGATGTCGATTGCTGAGAAATGAATCAAACCAAGCTAGCAAAGGATTTTGAAACCCATGAGATGCGAGTTTACCTATAAGAAGTTGGTGGCTAACCATGTCAAAGGCTTTAGAAATGTCCAGATATAGCACTAAGACTAGATATCCTTGGCTACGTAGAGAATAGACTAAATTAAAGAAGTCAAAGTGACATGTCATGCAAGATCGACTTTTAAGAAATCCATGTTGAGTATCATTGATAAATTTTCCAGTGAGTAAATAGTTGGAAAGTTCATCACTTACAATATTTTCCATAATCCTAGAGATTACTGCAGTAATATTTATTGGCCGATAAATGTTCATGTCAGTCTTATCTCCAGATTTATAACGTGGTATGATGTATGCGGTTTTCCGACGGTAAGGGTAAGAGCCAGTTTCCATAGAGAGAGTAAACAGCTTTAGAAAAAGAAATGGAATATCTGGCCCACCATATTTGTAGAGAAAGGATGAAATCCCGTCTGCTCCATGACTGTGCGAAAACTTAAGGGTATTTATAGCCTTATTAATTTTCATACATGCGAAGGAAATAGATTTTATTGAGTTGCTGGTCACGCACGTAACTCTTTAAGTAGAGCCACTTATGATTTCTACACCATTCGCAAAAATACCACTGAAAAGGTCTGCCATAGTTTTAGAGTCGTATATAAAAGTGTTATTATGATGGGTGTATGGTATATCAACATTTTGAGTTGCTTTAGCGCGTTTATTGAGAGGAGAATAAATGAATGTAAATGAATAATTTATGATGATGAAATAAAATAAATCATAAAGTGTCATCAGAAGGGGGGTTTTGTGGAGATTTTAGTAATTTAATAGTTGAATTCATGAGTGAATTAAAGCTAGACCATCATGGAAAACCTGGAAGCGCTGGACAGCCGTTTCGTCAGAGTATGGGACTCCCCAGTAATGAGCATCCACGATCCCATCCCTCGATATTCGAATCCATGACCTACCAGTCTCGCGCGAGAACACACAACCTCTAGACCACTGGGCTAGCATTCAACGGTGTTGATGTCTAACTTCAGCCAATCCATAAAATTGCTCCACCGATAGGTTTTGGGCTTGAACCTCACAAGGCGGGATCGTGGATGCGCACGGCCGAGGAGTCTCATACTAAGACGAAACAGCCGTCCAGTGCTTCCAGGTTTCTCATAGTGGTCTAGCTTTAATTCACTCATGAATTCAACTATTATATTGTAAAGTATTACTGGTTTTATCAGATTTACTATTTTTCCATTTGGTTTTCAACTCAATAAAGTAATCCATCCATATGACTTCAGAGGATCTTTATTTAAGAGTGTTTACATGGTCATAAATAGTTTTCTAAATATTCCCTAACATCTTCAAAGATTTCAGTCTGCATTTACTTAATGACTTATAAACTTAAAAAATAATTAATCCTAAGTACTCAAGCATTTATACTGGACAGTACAATTACTGTGAAGGATATATGAGAACACTGGTTTAATTTTTTTGAGTCACAACTTTAAACCAGTAGAAAACAAATATCGAAATGGTAGAGAAGATTGGTAGCTCAAGTGAGTGATTTTGGTGGAGTTTTGTTTAGTCGTGGAGCTTTTATCATTCTTCTGAACGACATAATCAGCACAAACTTCAGGTAGAAATGGAATGTTCGAATTTCTATATATATATATGGTTCACAACTTGTCTTGTCGACCTCGATCTTGATTGGTTATTGTTGACGTTTAACTTGTCATTATTTACCTATTTATTTTGATTGTATCTCTCATTTATTTGATTCTTAGTCCTATATTTGTCTATAATATTTTTGATTTGTTGATAATTTGGATCGATTTCAATGTGTTTGTTGATTGCTGATTGACCTGAGTTCCAAGCTTTTAAAAATCCTCTAGTGTTTTTAGAATTGCCTCCATCCAAGATCTCAACATTTTTCTAGTTGAATGTGTGTCCATAACTGTCTACATGCATTGATATAAGCGTGGATCTGTTATGGAGTTTGATTGCAATTAGTGTTCGTCTAGGTGAAAATAAAGAGGATGATGACAGGGTAAAGGTCAACAATAACCAATCAAGATCGAGGTCTATCGTACAAGCTGTGAGCCATATGTGAAGATATTCGATCACTTCACTTCTACCTGAAGTTCGTGCTGATGATGTCGTTCAGAATAATGATGAAAGCTTCATGACCAGGTCATCCAGCTCAGAGAACAAAACCACCTTAATCAAACATCCTTTGATTGTTTTCTTTCTGTAATAGCCATCTTGTTCTCCTTTGAATTACGTTGTAGCCACGATGCCTATCGTAAGAATCTATCTAAGTGATAAGTTGTTCGAACTGATCTTCTGATCCATTGATTTCACGTTATATGAACTTTTAACAGTGAAAAGTTAATTGTAAAACAAATGAACAAATCCTTTCAATTAACTGAACTCTTTTATCATATAAGGATTGTGATTATGATTAAGAATACAATCAGATGTGAATGATATTTTTGTTCTTTGACCAGTGAAAGTCCATTTATATATCCATATATACTAAATAGTTTAATTCAAGAATTGATCATAGCTAGACTAACCTTGATAACCTGTAAGCAATAAACTCTCGATTCATTCTAGTATAATACACTTCAGTAGTACGAATCTATAATACCATATGCGAGAATGGAACTGAGAACTTTCGGTCTTACACACCAATATATTTAATCATAAAAATGAAACAATAAATGTATCATTACTATTGATTGTTATTAACTACTATTTGTTTATGAATTTTTGTTGTTGTTGTTGTTGTCTAAATGAATAACAAATACTTACAGAACTGTGGTAAAATCTCATTGGTTGAATGTACTTTAGTTGAAGATACTACAGCAGAATTATTCAATATGGATGATGAAGGTAAGTTCTTTTTCTTGACATTGATTACATAATGATATTCTTTCTTTCCTTTTTAAGTGAAATTTTAAAAAAATTGATAATTCAATCTATAGATGAAAATGTAGAGAATGACTTCATCTTTCAATGATAAACCTCATTGATTGGTCTGATATGGAATTCAGGTTTCTTCAGATATATCGATAAATTATCTGATCATTCAACTAATGACCAACAACACGGTAATCACCCCTGTCTTTTCTTTAATACTTGGACAAGGTATATGATGTAGTAATTACTGTGAAACAAAAGAATATTGGATGATTGCTCTATGGTGTAGAGGTTAAGCATTCGCGTATAAGACTGAAAGTTCTAGGTTCGATTCCCGTGTGCAAGGTTTCGGGTGTACAGTACTGAGGAGCACTATATTAGGATGAGATGGCTGTCCAGTGCTTATAGGTTTTCAATGCAGCTCTCTTATTGGTATAATATAATACTATACTATTATATTATATGGACATTCCTTCCGCTGAAACAGTAAGCCTAATCATTTGTTTCTACTATTTTTGTACATTTAGATCAATTGAATGTTACAAATGAACAAAAATGTCAACAAGACAATACATCACACATGACAAAAAACAATACTGTTCAATTATTAAACACAACACCAATAAATGTAAATACTAATGTTGAATTAAATACGCGTAATTCTATTCCAATCAATACACTTGGTACCAGTTCTACTACTAATACTACTACAACGAGTAATAGCATTAGTAATACTGCACATGAATTAGGTCAACAACTTCCACAGAATTTACATAAACGTTACATATGTCCAGATTCAACATTTAATCGATATACCTATGTAAATAAATCAAATCAAATGGATTCAATGTCAAAGTCTACAACGATAACAGGTACAGTACAACAACAATCGATTCCATGTCCCTCTACACAACATAGACATTCTACCTCATTATGCATAGGAACTAATATTAGTAATAATGAGAATGATTTACATGATGCAATGACAAACTGTTGTATTACACCAATATGTAGTATGGATAGTTATTCTCCTAGTATTAATACAATTGATGAAGCTCGTGCAGTTTCAGTTACTAATGTTACTACAATGACAACTGCTAATATTATTACTGCCACTACAATGACACCAACAATGAACTCGACTAATACTTCATCCTCTTCTATTCTACATGGTCGTAATAATTCCAATGTATCATATTCAACAATAACTTCACCAATAATCACAACAATAATAACACCAGATATAAATATTATGAATTCTAGTCCATTATTAGCATCATCATCATCATCATGTATTCAACCGACAAGTCCATTATCATTTTCAATGTTACATCGACTCAGTAGTAATATGGGTTTATTTAATTCAATCAACAATAACACCAATAATAATAATACATGTATTAATGACAAAACAGATTATGGTAATTTAGATTTTCGTTTAATATGGGAACCTAAAAATGGTCAACCAACAAGTATATGGCTTGTTGCATCAACATTACAAGAGAAAGCTGCATGGTGTTCTGATATTAGTCAAGTAAGTTAGTTAGTTAAACAAACAATATTGAAAACTTGAAAACTCTTGTAGTCTAACCGATTAGTTTATTTTGTCAAAAAAACAATCTTAGACTTTTGAACTTATAATTGAGTAAGATTGTAAACTCATACCCAACCCTCCTCCTTTATCCGGGCTTGGGACCGGTAGTAGCCCTCGGAGGGACTCCAGAGGGAGTTTTGATCGCTTTTCTGTAAACTCATCTAAATAGTGATAATGAATATGGTTAGTACTTGATTCAAATGTTTGGTTATCCGTAACGTTTTCAAGACTTAATAAGTGTGTTGTATTCGGTCGTTTTAAACACCTTTCAACTGATTCAATGAGTATCTTTTGTACATAATAATGTAGTTTTTTTATTGAGGATTTCATTTCAAACAAATGAGGAAACCACGAAACCATAGTCAACTATAAACATACTAGTGTGATATATATTAATATACTGGGTGAAAAACATAAGTATGATGGAAATTTGGGCTACACATAAAATTAAATATTATTATACAATGTTTAGTTACCAAATTGTAAGAGCAAACGACGAGCAATCCCAAGAGCATGCAGTCTCTTTGTGTAGGAAGTCAGACGGAAAACTTTTTTCGATAACAATAAAAAGTGAGAAGACCAAGAGAGATCAGAGGAAAAGGTAACACTAAGATAATTGACCTTCGACACTATGTTTATCGAAGAGTCTCCGATGGCACAAGCATTATGAGATCCCAAAGTGGTGTTCAGAGGCCGTTCATGTCTCATACTAAAGTTAAAAGCTTGACATTTAGACGAATTAAATATGAAACTATTAACAACAGACCAACAATCAATACGAAACAAAAATTCATTCATTTCTATGGGATGTAAAGAGGTACAGATAGGCATATATACAGTGTTTACTGTGTTATTGCTTATATTCTGTTAAAGAGTCCAAAATAGTTACCAAGGTTTCTTTGATTTAAGTTTTTGACCTTTATGTAATATGACAGATAGGTAGTTTTTGTCTCTTTCACAAAAAAAATAACTAGTTTGATGTAAAAAGTTCTTTTATGTCATCAATTACATCACCGAATATAGTTCTATTACAAATCTAATATTTCTTTGTTTAGTTTTTACGTATGATTTACATCAGATTTATGCTGTTTATTAAGATATATTTTATTATATATTAAGAACTGATTTTTAACAAAACAAATTTCATTATTGTCGATAACAACTGTTTTATCACGTGCTTAGCTCCGAGTTACACTCAAAGTATGAAGGCTAGTGACACTACTTAATTAAGTAAATAAAAGTACGTGGAATGGGATTTAAACCTGTTACTTAGGCGTTAAAAATAAGATATGATAATCATCTTAAAAAAATATCATTGATGGATAGTGGCTAGCAGTGAAATCCAGGACGCGTGTTTCGTCCTATTCGGGACTCGTCAGCTGGATGTATCTGCATCTCAGAGTTGATGTTCACTCTGGGACTCGAACCTAGTACCGTTCGCTTCAAACGCCATCGCATCATCCATTCACCTACTGAGTCTTGATAGCTACTTGCTTGTGTAGTCTTGCTTGCAGTCTTAAAAACTCAATGGGAAGGTACCCGCAAAACAATACCAAGTGAATTTAAAATATCATTGAGTTGGATCATTCAACATAAATACTATCATAAATATAAAAAAATATATTGAAATGATATGGAAATTTTACATTTTGAATAAAAACAAAGTCTCCAGATACAGAACATATAATTAGTGAATTTCAATTGATTACTAAATATGAATTAATAGGATTAATTTAACTAGTTTACAATTTATACTTGTTGTCAATCCATAACGAAATTATTATTTATTATTATTTTAACATATAGATATCGGTACAAGGAGGCACCAAATACATACGCGCCACACGAATCTCAATTGATTTGTGTGAGGGCTGTGATACTGTCCGGGTGCCCAAACCGCAGCAGGTGATTTTCTTAGGGGGCCACACCCCGAGCCTTCGACCTGAACGTTTGATCCACAACACAGTGGAGCATCGTGAGGAGATGTAGTCCCATGGTAGACGGTGACTAACGATGGGTTCATACGTCTTTTGTTCCTTCAGAATACTGGAGCCCATGTGCACCATTGGTTTGGGATCCGATTAACGCGCCGGACACTTGCTTTTCGTCCTCTCATTTTTGTAGACAACAATAGTGCCACTATAAGTCAGTGAGTAAGACTTCCCTGGCAGAGACTGTATACGCGTGACCATGTAAGAGCATTTCGAGAGGGATAGAGGACTCTCCCCACTCTCGGCCATACCAGGGCATTTGAGAGTAACGAAATTGAGTGAATCTAAATAGTAAAAAGTCACCTCCCACCCCTTCAAAAAGCAAACACATTCAAATATTGTTGGGTTCTGATTAAATCACGTCAACCTTTTATAACGGAAAAAAACGCTTTGTTCTTGATACCAGATTGAACACAATAGAACATGGTTACATGATACATTGGACTCAATTGTCAATAGTTTAGTAGAGAAAACAGTAAGGAATAGTTAGTAGGTGGGATCAAAGTGCTACGAATTTCACAATAAAAGTTAGTCTCTTATTATTTGGTCTAGTTGGATTGTTTGTTTTTCAACTTTGAACAATCACAGGTCAGTTGGATTATATATATATATATATATATATATATATATATATATATATATATATATATATAATTGATGTACCAAATAATTCGAGTTTTGAGATGAAGCCTCCTATTCTTTATCAGTCCTCTTACCCTTACACAATTGATTGGGTCATGAATTCAGGAGACGCATATATTGTGATTTTATCAGACTAACAAATTGTAACAACATCTTATGTAAATTCATGGGTGAGGTACCTATCACAAGTCCCAAGTAGGATAAGACATCTGTTTAGTACTCTCTTGGTACTCAATAACTCCTCAGCTCATACTGTTCCGTGTCTGAAAAAAAACTTGGAAGTAAATAATTTATGTAAAAGTCTATTGCAGATGTCTGAAATCTGTTATTGTTGATACTAAAGACTACAACTAACACGTCTTCGTTGGCTTATATAGATCCTGATACATTTGTTCGATGCCGCTCTTTAGTTACATGTTCAAAAAATTATTTATAGTAAGCAACTTTTAATAACGCTTTGACATTTAAAGTAATAAACTCCAGGTTAGAATTTCAGTCAGAACATTAACATTTGAATTCAAGTATATCGCTAAAAAACAAGCCCCGGATAGAACAAAACTCATATCCTACATTCTACTGTTAGCCATAATCCTGATATATTAATAGACTATAGTTTCAGAAGATTTAAAGCAGCAACCGATTTTGTTCATAATTGAATTCCAACACGAAGATTTTATTAAGTTTTGATTTCAGAAATAGATTTAAAATTGACTAACCATTAATCCATGATCAAAATCATATGCGTTTAGTTATTTAGTGTTGATCATATCATATTAATGAAGTTATAGTATGGTCACTAACTCAAGTCAATCAATATCGCATGCACTGTCAAGCGGTTGAAATTTATCGGAAGTAAACCTAATTTGACTTAAGTTATGTAGCTAGTTATCACTATCCTAATGGCCACATTACTACTTGATCAATAAAATTTTTGCAAGCACTGAAAGAATAGTAAGTAAATCGATATTACTAAAAGTCAGTCATTATATATAAATACCCCATTGGTAACGTTACAGACAATGAAATTGATCAAAATGGGTCTGAATACTTCAGGAAATATTATTTTCTTCAAAATTGTAGATATGCCTTGCCGATGAATGCTAATTAATATTTCAAGTAGGGTTTATTGTTGACTACCGACAACCTACTTACAACATCTTAACACAATGTATATGACATCTGTTTTACTGAACTTGGTGACTATAATGAAAAATTCTTCGATAGAATGATTAGATAAACGTGACTTTGATAAAGGCTTGGCGATCGATTAGATTGTTTATTCATTTGAGAACTATATATTTATGTCTGTCTGTGTTTATCATGTCTTTAATAGATATAATGATTTTTGTCTCTAACTCATAGCTCATTCGAAACTAGAGACTATAAAGATGATTATTGTTGTCATGTATTTTTGTTTTTGACTGATCGATCGATTGATTATTTCCTGGTCGACTCAATTTATTTTTGATACATACCCAAATTAAATTGTGGTAAACTCCATATTCGAATATGTAGATAATAATAATAATAATAATAATAATACCAGACTAAACAATTTTGTTTCCGACTAGATCTGCTTTTGCAAATAAAATTTTTCTAAAAATAACAAATAGTTAAAGAAGAAAAGAAAAAAAAAGCAGACATTTTGAAACGTAGCAAGTTTTATAATTATCGGTATAGGGATTATAAACTTTTACTGAGATCATGAATAGATCTAAGTTGGATAATCATTGAAAACCTGAAAGTACTGAACAGTTGTTTATGTCCTAGTATGGGACTTCGCACTAGTGTACATCCATGGAAACATCATACAAGTTTGGACCTAATGCATTTGGTCTAGTGATTGAACGTTTAACGTCTAAATTACTGGGGTGCAATCTAATGATATATATATCCAACTTAAATCAATACGCGATATTACACAGCCATCTCTCATTGTCTGAGGTGAATATGTTCCTCAGACTTGACACAACGGCTTCGTATTAGAAATTTGAAATTTTTCTCTGGAAGTTATGCACTGGTAAACACATGATAGTTATCAGTTAAGAGATTATAGAGATTGTTGAACATAAATAATAATGTTTATATTATGATACGCTCCATTTGTTTTCTTCTCACACGATACGTACTGTTGAGGAAGACCTCAAATGGTCTAGTTTTGTTAATTATTGTCGAAGCAAACTATAGTTCTCACAAGTAAGAAAGCCCTCGGTAACAATTTCTCCATTCATATTATCGCAGTAACCTAATATCTTTTGCTTTACATAGTCCACTGTCTTCTTTACATGTCACGTAGTCTTAGTTGTTGCTGATATAAATACTGTTGTTGTATTATAATTTCCACATCTTGGAATTTCATGCTTATCATGGATTCCTATTTTTTCTCTTCAGTTGCTTAGTGGATTATTATTGTTAAAATGGTGTAGCGATGAGGTATTGTGCTCCCTAGAATGCATAGAACTCTCCAAATATCTATTATTTGGAATAATCATTAGTCATCACAAATTAAAAAGCAAATAAACTAATGAGTTAATCTAATTTGATACATTAATATACATAGAATTTTTAAAATTATAAGAGTAAGGGTTTGTACGGTTCTGTTGTCGATACTTGGGATTAGATTTTAGTCAGTCTTTGTTAATAATATATACATCATTAGGATATTACCATGATATAGCCATGTTGTAACAAATTTTCGAGATTATATATTGATTGTCACCAATAGTACAATCAGTCTTGCGCGCGAGACTGACAGGTCCTGGGTTCGAATGTCTCATGGGGGCGGGATCGTGGATGCGCACTGCTGAAGAGTCCCACAATAAGATGGAACAGGCGTCCAGTGCTTCCAGGTTTTCCATAGTGATCTAGTTTCAATTAACTCATCATCTCAACCATTAAAATAAATAAAATTTGTCAAATATATATAACTCTTGATTTATATCAAATAAGATTAAGTTGTTGTTATATATTGAAATGATCAAGGTTCTACTGATGTGAACTCGATAATATATGGAATTATTCACACAACTTAATGATGATCCTCTAACAATGGAATCTAAAGAGAAGATGTGAGTTTAGAAAAAGTATTTAATATTCAACAAAGTGAAAGATTACAGTAGAACAACTTTATATATGATCCCAAGAGATGGTCTTAAGATAAGAGCAAATTTGAAAATGAAAAGTGGTAACAATCAATTACACAAAAGTAAAGGTCAGGCAAAAAAGATATGTATTCAAAGTTTTGATTCCAGGAAATAGCTAACATCTACCAACGAAAATCAAAGGAGATAACCAAAGGTCTTTCTGGCAGTTGTCTAAGTGAATGCAAATATTGAAAAGAAATCATTTGTAATCATACAGTCCCCTCTATTATGTTATCATTTCAATACATAATGTTCTGAGTAATGATTAAAGAAATCGATATATTTCATATTGTTTTATTTTTACTGTTAGTGTATTGAACAATTGCATTATGGAGATATTTTAAATTCAGCTCAATCGGATGTTTCTTCTGTAGCAATGCCTCAGTCTATTCGGTAAGTATATATTTGATCAGCATTATTATTATTATTATTATTATTATTATCATTAATACTATCATCAATATTTCCATTTTGTATTGTTTGTTTGAATCTTCCCATTGATGTTTAAGACTGCGACTGATCAGTCTTTTATAGACATATGTGCATCCTGTACGGACTGTCTCCATATTGCCCTAAGTCACAAGCATTATAAGCAAAGATAGATGGTGGCTAGCAGTAGGATCCAGGTCGCGTGTTTAGTTCTATTCGGGACTCGTCAGCTGGATGTAACTGCATCCTAGGATTATTATTATCTTTAACATAGAGTGAATTTATAATCTGCTAACGACCGTCATGAGGTCTTGAAATAACCCTCAGACAGTAAACCCAATTTCTATTCAATCAGGGTCCAGGGGATATAAATGAATAATATCTAACATAATGTGCCCAGAAATTTTCTGATTTTAGAGTGAGAGTCAAGGTTTGAATTTATGGTCATGATTTGGAGTTAGAATCAGAAACAGAATTTACGGTCAGGATTTAGGGACAGGATGTAGAGTGGTGGTTACGAATGTAGCGAAGAACCTCTTGTGGTCATATGGAAGAACAATTATATAGTTTGTTCTTTAATTTTAAATATCAAGAACTTTTAATTTACCATTACGACTTCATAAATTCTGGTTTCTATGGTTTGATTCTCCTGTGTCCATCGAATACAGACATTTTATTAACGGAATACTGGTAGTATTTAATTGGCATTTTATAAAATGAAAATCTAACCATCCTTTTCTCAATGTTAAAAATACTATAATGTCTAGCATTTTTTGTGCATAAGAGAGGATCCGAAGATGAAAATAAAAAGCAAATCGATCAGCTTTTGCACTCGGTTCAATCATTACTCAAAACTCATACAATAATATACTGGAGATATCTAATCACACAGCAGCATAATTACAAATTTATAATGTGTACATAAATTAGTCATAAGTAGTACAATACCACAGTAATACTGGAATAGTTAATTAATGACAAATCTGTAATAATAAGACATACGACAATGATTTATAACTCAAACGAAAGCTTAGAAATAAAAGAATACACCTCAGTGATTTCTACGAGACTATAATTTATAGACGAACTAATCAGATTTAGGAAAACAGGTTTTGGATTTTGATGCGAGATTCATTCAGCCATTTGGCTAAATAGCGTTTTGGCATTATAGCTAATGTCAGATCGTGATGAAAACTCTAAATCTAATTCTTAAACTTAATATTCAACTGTATATCATAATCTTTGTTCTTCACACAGGTTTATAACCTTCATTCAGCTCTAGTAAGTAGGTGAACATTCCCATGGTCACTTCAGAGTCGTTGAAACGTTGTCTATAAATTATAGTCTCACAGCAGTTTCCATTAACGACCAAGCCAAGGACGAAATCCAGAGCCTTCGGGTCTAGGGACATGAACTTCACCACTAGAACGTTGAGCTATCATCCCTTGTTACACATTTTTAACCTTAATTTTTGGCATAGTACAGTGATGATTGTTTCATTATGGATATGAATAAATAATCCCTGGAACCACCTAATTTATGATGTTTGCCAAATCATCTCAATTCATGTGTTCAATTGCTACCTTCAACTAAGATCAATCTATCATAGATACAATTTTAAATTATAAAACAAAATAGGAAAATGTTTTCATTATAATGTATTTAAAATTAATCAATTGAAATGGATATGTAATTTTCTTTTTTGGAATTCAAAATTTTGTTTTAATGAGTTACTACCGGAAACTAAATCATATTTAACCTTGTTACTATTTTTATTTGATCCTGGTTACTATTATTGATTGTTTACCTTTTTGTTTTCAAAACAATCATAAAATTGAACCACTTATTTTATTTTATATATTATTATTATTATGTTTAGATCGGATCCAAAATTGTTTAAAGATGATGTAGATATTAAATTTAGTCATACATTGAATTCATGTAAAGTACCACAGGTAAGTAAACAAAAACACTACAAAAATGTTTTATTTTGAATCATATAGATTTAATCTAGTGGTTTGTAGAATTTAATGAATCTTTTAGAATTTGTGCTAAGATTAGAATTTGCGGTTGATCTTTGAATGATGCTAAAGTATCCTTGAGAAAACTCACATAACCTAATAGATTCTGATATAGGTTACAGATTAGTGTTAAGAATCAGAATTAGAGTTACAGTTAGAGTTTTCATCATGAATTAACATCGATCTATATGTCGAAATGCTATTTGGCTATGTGGATGAATGTATTTTGCATCAAAATCCAAAACTCACTCCATAAATTGAGGTCTACTCAACTTTATGCTTGTCAATTTCTTTTAATGTACTACTTTATTTTAATCAGTAGTTTAGATATATTTCACAATTATTTTAGAGGTTGTAACCAGTATTGAAAACAATTAGTTCGATTTATATATTTTCATTAAGTAAAGAGAAGACGGAGATGATCTAGAAAATACGTTATATTTGGGTAACACAGTTTAAATAAATGTACTATCTTTACAATGAACCATTAATTGTAATTATTGATAGTTGTATTTGAGGTCTATCTGTTACTTACTAGATAGAAACTCATTGACATAACACATGGACAACTTCAAACGAAATCAAACCTAGGTGTTATGTCTTGAAACCGTTAACCAATGTCATGTGCTGATTCATCAGTTAGAAAATTCTTATACTAATTTAGGTTTTCTTTGCGTTTACTATTCCCTTGATAGCCTAGCATCCTCAAATTGATTAGCACTAATGAACATGAGACGAAAGCTAAGTTCCTATTGATCAGTTGTTCGTAAATCCCTTTCTACACCACTAAGCCTCTAACTTGACTACATTTCAAATAGGTGTGGTTTATATACAGATATACTAGACAGCATTATATCATGAAATAAATAATCATAAATATACATAAATCATCCAAAAATGGCTGTGAATAACTGATTAGCAATGAGTTGTATGACGGTAGTTAATGTGCTACCGGAAGCTTATGACAAGTGGGATAGATATTCATAATGATTAACTTATTCAGTAATTATACAACAAGATAATAATAAATAGTAATTCAGAAAACCGGTTACAAATTTCACAATGTTCATTGCATTTTAACATTAATACGCTGCTTTTAGACGACTGATTCCGGATTGAATTCTCAATGTTTGCAACTGTAGTCAAGTTTTAGGGATTGTCTACTTAGTCGAATCACTAATCTATTGAATCCGTTAATGCAAAGTTCGATTTATGCTTATGAGACCGTTGACCTTTGTTTAACTAAAGTGCTCACTAAGTGTGTTGATGACTATTGGCCTATTTAGATAACTTCTTTCTCAAACTACTCACTCAAAGCAAGAGAATAACTTTCCTAATCACACGAAAACTCATTATATGAATGCTACAAACGATAATGTACTACAAATGGGAAATCAATATAAGTGGATAACTAGGTCATTCGTGGGAAAATTAGTTGAGAAATGGATTCATAATTAATTAGCTGTGAGGATAGTCCACGGATGAACTAGAGGAAGCCCTAAGAAGTTCAGAAAGAGCCAAAGATATTCTATCTAATCATCTTTTGGAAGAATGTTCCAGAATCTCCACATGGAACTGTTAATAAGTGAAGTGAAAGCTTAAAAGTAGGGTAATATAAAAATACCTTCAACAAAATAGTCAGTAAACCTACATTCAGAATGTAATTAATAATTCATCTTTGAATAGTCTTTGATGTTCCAAATTTTTCATCTATTCTTCATTATCCTACATTTATAAGACTATTCTTGTTCGGTACTTATAGAGTAACGTAATAACACTTAACATCTAATGTTAAATAAGTTGTACAAAATTGGCATACTATATCTACACTGTTAAGTGAATTAGATTAATAGTAATATTTTGTATGAAGGTTTTACTGAGACTGTTGGACTCTATAGTTTATGCTACAGACTAACTTTATTTGGACGACAGTTGAAAGCCAGGAAGCGCTGCACAACTTTTTCGTTCTAAAATGAGACTCTGAGACAGCGATGTGTGGTACTGATGTCGAAAGGTAGAAGTAATATGTACCAACAATCGGAAGTGGAATGCCTGGAGGTAGAAAGTTGAGAAAATCGATGAGAACGAGAGCAGTGAGTGATTGTTATGGAAACGAAGGAACAACAAAGTCTGAGATAATTAATGGATATTTTGCAAACGAACCATTTAATGTATGGTTCTCAGATTTTACTAAGACATTCTGTAATGTTGTATTAAAATACATTCGTTTGTGCTCAATTGTATTCTGGTTCACTACAGTGTATATTTATTATCACATTGAGAATCAAACCTAAAACCTTCACGTCTTTTGGTGAATTCTAAAGCTTTAGAAATTTGAGTTGGCACCTAATGGTATGTACGTCTAATTTAAATCATTCTGTGATATTGTCCAATGATCTTTATTATGTTATTGGTGGGTGACTGTCTCACATCCGATATAGTCGAACTTCACTAGTCATGGCTACTCACTAGAATTTCAGTTTGGATCTCCGGTGGCACCGTGGATATGTATTTCTGAGTAGTTCCATACTAAAATGAAAGAGTTGTCTAGTGCTTCCTTGTTTTCAATGGTTGTCTAACTAAGATCAGCCCATAATATAGACTTAATAATTTTTTATTGTTAATGATAATTTATTGTTTAAAGTTTTTTTCCTGTTAAATAGTTTCTTATCTTTTCTTTAATGTCAGATTCGTTATGCAACAGTTAGTCGTTTACTTGATCGACTAACTGATGCCAGATTCTTATCAATAGACTTTTTGAATACGTTTCTACTTACCTACCGTGTATTTACCACTGGTCTGTCAGTAATATGGGCATTAAATCAAGTTCTAGCAAATCCGGATGTAGAAAATGGTGGCAATGCATCACATTCTAATCAAAATCAATCATTTACATAGTGAGTGTTTACTAATTCTTCTCGTTGTTACTATGCAACTTTTAAAAAAAACTGTTTGTTACGAGATATTATTCTAAAATAACTTGTCGGTAATTCTAAATTACGAAACAATTAAGAGATTCTCCGAGTGTTACATGGGACCTACAGTGACTACACAGACTGGAAACCTAATAAAAATGAGCTTTAACAATCGTACTTTGCCCGACTGAAGAGAGAGAGTTCGGGAACGTCAAAGCTGAGCTAGAGAAAGTCTGTTTATTCAGTAACAACTATAACCTGGGTATACCACGAAAACAACAAACTACAAAGAGAAAGTAAGTGGTCGGATAACAGCAAAGCTCAATGGGATAGAATGAAATTAAAAAAGCTATCGAGATCTTCATTGGCCTTCAAACTATTATTTATCTGTGTAATAGAAGGAAACCAGAAAATTTAAGATTTTAGGTGGTCGTAGAAGAAAGTAAAAATTCAAACAGGAAGTTTCGGTTCTATCAAAACTGCAGATACATCGTGTTATTCAGTGATTATGAACATGGAATGTACGTCTATGTGTTCCCACTCACTAATCTTTAGCATTTAGATTGAAACACAATGAATAATGACGTTTAGACTACTGGCTACATTGATAAGTTTGATTAATAGATACTGTAGGGATTGATGACTAAAGTACACATGACACTTATCTCTACTCTGTACCTCTAAACAGTTATAATTTCATTATAACCAATTCGCGTAGTGAGAAACTGGAATTTGGAAAAAGGTCATAGGTTTGTTGCTTTCTCTAATTTACATCGCGTAATGAATTTAGTTAGACATTCATTAAAAGTGGAGAAATTTCGGACAAATAATTAACAGTATACATCCACAGCTTCTTCAGGAATCGAGTCCAGGACCTTCAGGTCTTCCGGTAGGCTCTCAACATTTAGATCACTGAGTCGAAATAAATTGGTTTTTATGTCTAAATTAAGCTAATCCATGATGGTTTACAACTATCTTTCAAAGCCGTTGGTAGTGCATGACAATCGAAATGATTGAATTTCATTGATCACAGCTTCTTGCTTCTTTAAGTCACATGATTTTATATATTCTTCAATCTTATTCAGAAATTTATTCACAATCTATATTATCGATCATATTGATGAAAATATAACGTCGAACTGATGATAGTGCTTGTAGAGCTGTAACTGCTGAACGCTCTGCTTAATATCAAATTAATTTGATTCAGATTTAAATGAAGCACCATAACTTTCATCAGTTTGATTATGTTAATTTCTAAGTCATGACCACTGAAACTTAATCATATCGGCTGTGAGACATTTATTCATCATAGGAAATGGATGAGATTTATACAATATCGTGAATTGATTGAAGTTAGACAATAACACTGTCTGATGCCAGCTCAGTATCCCAGATGTCAAGCATTTATGAGCTAAACTGAAGGTCCTGGTTTTAATCCATGTAAACGAGGTCGTGCATGGGCACTTCTGAAGAGTCCGATATTAGAATGACGTGACCATCCGGTGATCCTAGGCTTTCAGCGATGGTTTAGCTCAGATCCGTTTAATAATTTAAAATAAGAAATTTCATATAATGACGACAAATAATGGTGGAGACATGTTGATCAAATTAACAACATTTTTGTGTTCATCTTTAATTTTAAAATAACAACCTACTAATCAGAGAACGACATTATAGATTTCCAAGATTTTCACATCATTACTGTTTTACAGACTCCTTCAAAGCACTAAGTGATCACTACCAGAACTAGGCTCAAAGTACTAAATATGAGTGATAAATCGTCCAATGAGCTATTGAATCTTTATTGATTGGGGTGGTTGTGACATGTAATACCTATGTTTAATCGTTGCCTAACTAAACGAGCGATGTTTACTGATGTAGGAGTAGGTTAAAAAAGTAGGGGTAGCCCAAGGAAAGCGTAGTCACTGGTTGATGAACTAAGTCATGTTTGTGGATGCAGATCACGTATTTGATGTTCTCGTGATTAGTATAACCACTGATTAGAGACATTAAGTCAGAACCGCTTTCAGTCGCATAAATATATATTTATTGTTTCCTGTCGAATTATACTGTCTAAGAATGATTATTTCTACTATTATTGACATGGAGCGTAGGCCGCCGACTAGCGTTCTCCAACCCACTCTGTCCTAGGCCTTCCTTTCAACATCTATTCGATTCTTGTTCATTCCTTTCATGTCTGTCTCCGTTTCTCGTCGTAATGTGTTTTTTAGTCTTCCTCTTCTCCTTTCGCCTTGAGGATTTCATGTGAGGGATTAACTTGTGATGCAGTTGGGTGCTTTCCTCAATGTGTACTCTATCCACTTCCAGCATTTCTTCCTGATTTCTTCCTCTGCTGGAATCTGGTTTGTTCTCTCCCATAGTAGGTTATTGGTGATAGTGTCTGGCCAGCAGATCCGTAGTATTTTGTGTAGACAACTGTTAATAAACACTTGTTTCTTCTAGATGATGGCTTTCATAGTTCTTCAGGTTTCCTTCCCATACAGTAGAACTGTCTTGACATTTATATTGAAAATTCTGACCTTGGTGTATTGTAACAACTTAACCCGATACATATATACGCCAAATCCTATAACTAAGTAACTGTTCAGTCATTTCACAGCCCGTATTCACTTAGTGTTTAGATGAACGACAACATATCAGAAAATGTATGTAAAGGTTTAGAAAATTTTCTGATAAACACTGAGAAATATTAATATTTCATTTGGATCAATGAACTCTGTTAATAAGTTCCATGTCAAATCTCGGAATAGATGTATTTATGTCTTTACTTAGGTTGATCATTTAATTTCCTTTGAAAGAAGAAGCTTCTAGAACTTCAAGGTTATCGATTGCCATTTAGTTATCCATTCTCTGATCAATTTTCATCCAGATAACAAAATTGTATATTCATGAATATTTTAAAGTCAAGATCACAATGATTTCTATGTTGTAAATATTATCTATATTTGCAAATTTTGTTACTTAATTTTACTATACATCATTCAGTCAGTCAGTAACAATGTAGAACTTCGTACGTACATACATCAGTTCGAGTTGCTATACCACATTAGTACAGAGATGTAGTTTGTCGATTCAAATCCCATAGTAGTAGAGGTAGTAAGAGTATAAGCAGTAATCCGAAAGATTAGGGTTTGAACATGTTATTCAAGGAGTATAATTCAGTGAAATAAATTTGGAAAGAGAAAAAAGAAAGGAATATGAAGAATTCAGAAGATTAGAATTTGGGAGAACACAAAGAGTGGATACACCTGCTCACACCATCGCAAACGATTTTGAACCATGTCATTCAAGATCTCTAACCATCGGTTGCGATAGTCTCTCAGACCCCAACCAGGTAGTCTACACCTACCAACATGGTTCAGTCCACTTGTCAGTGACTTCATGGATTTGTGCCATGTTTTGGTCTGGCCGCCCATAGCTTTCTTCCAACCTACTCCTACACCATAAAACATCGCACGTCAGGGAAGTCGGTGGTTGGGCATTCGTAATACATGTCCATGCCATCTCGACTGATGAAGTTTCACTACTTCATCAGTTGATTTACCATCCTTACCTAGTACCCGTTTCCTAACAACTGAGTTACTTACTCGGTGGTCCCAGGATATACGAGCGATATTTCGAAGATATCTATGATCAAATACTAGTAACCTACGAATATCCTCTACTCTTACCGGCCATGTTTCACAGCCATAAAACCGTCAAGTTACTATGCATCAATGATTAGAGATTAGAGAGTTTGAATTGGTGGGGAAAATTTGTAGCTCAAGTGGATCATTTTGATGGAGTTTTGTTCTTTGAACTGAATAATAGACTTCTATCTGAAGTTTTTGCTAATGATATCATTCAAAAGAACAATGAAAGTTCTACGATCAAACCATCCAGTTCAAAGAACAAAATTACTAATTAATTCCTCTGTTCATCATTTGTTTATTGTTCAATATGTAAGATAAATAATAACAATGTAATACATTATTTTTTCTTTTGTTTTCTTTAAAACCATTTATCCTCAGCTCTCATTTTGAAAATCCTGAACAACGTGATCGATTATATACAGCTAGACCATCAGAAGTTTCATTAACTATAAATCGTTTACCAGTTTTAGAAGAAACTGTACATAGTAACACTGATGATATATCATCAAGTTCAAATTCTATTACACAAATAGAAAATCAATTAGAAACTAATTAATAACAATAATAATAATAATATAATCAATAATATATCAAATCAATTTATGACAAATTTATCATTAAATAAACAAGATTCATTGATAAACAATGAAATTTCAATCAATTCATCTCTATTACCAACAACAGTTCATTGTACTACTACTACTACTACTACTACTACTACTACTACTAATAATAATAATAATAATAATAATAATAATAATAATAATAACATAATAATATAGCAATGAAATTGCATAAAAAATCAATTCCTCGTCCATTATCTACCTCAGAAACAATAAAATATTGTTCATCTTCTATAACAACATCAAATGTAATGAGTCAATCAGTAATCAATGATAGTCATAGTTTATCCTCATCATTAGTTGATAAACAATCTAATAAACAGATTATGAATAGAAGTTTTCAATCATCTACAATTATTACAATACCAATTCAAACAACATCTACACCTATGTTAATTCCACGTTCACCTATTTATAGTAAATTTTTAGATTTAAGAGATGATCCACCATTAGAGTTACCTATTTTACCAGATTTAAAAACAGTAAGTTATTATTGATTGATTGTTATTAACAGAATATTCGTTACAATAGATATATGTAATAAATTTATAAAATAAGCTTATACAAGTTTGTATGTATCTGTACACCCTGAAGTAACAAGTCAAAAATTTTTAGTTTGTTGATTGAGATCTTGAACAGATTGATGTTAGATCACTGTTCGGAACCTGGAAGCACTGGAAGGTCGTTTTGTTCTATTGTGGGACTTCTCAACAGTGCGCATTCACGATCCCGCTGGCGGGATTCGGACCTAGGGCCCTCAGCCTCGCACGCAAACGCTTAACCTACTGGACCACTGAGCCGCATCCGATGCTGTTAGTGTCTAAAATCTATTGTACTGAGGTAGATACCTGCCTCAAACCGACACGGACTAGCTCCACTGGTCATGGCTACTGAGGAGTCCCACAATAGGACGAAACGGACGTTCAGTGCTTCCAAGTTTCCAACACTGGCCTAACATTAATCGGTTCAAGATCTCAATCAATAAATTAATAATCTCTACAACCCTATACTGACAAAAATTTTTAGGACAGGTTTTTTTCTCCAAATGACGAGTGGCCCAAATGAAAGTCTAGTTTGAAGACTGAGAGTGTGAGAGTGAAGTGAGTTGATTACTTATACTTGGAGTTTAATCGACCTAGGGTAGATCAGTAGGTGATAAGACCTCTCAAAAAAATTCTCTTGACATATCAATCTGTTAACTTAAAGGTGATTATACTGCACAGAGATTTAATCTATATTACTATATATGATATTACTATAGTATGGTATTACTATATATGGTGGTGAAGCATGGCCTACATAAGTAGATAAACATAGATTGAAAGTATTTAAATTATGATTGTTGTCAATCAACTCTTTCACTTCACCTATCATTAAATCGGATGTACTTAATCTGTCCTCATTAGTTTGAAACCACTGTGTTAGTTTCATTTTAATCAATGTAAGCAGTGACCAGTAGAGTTCAACCGGGTCTGTTATGAGATAGTAACTCAATGATGACAATGATCGATATGTCGTTCAATTTCGTGGATTAGTTGAAGCTAGACACTATCACTATCGGATGACGGCTCAGCGGTCTAATGGTCAAGCGCTCGCGCGTGAGACTGATAGGTCCTGGGTTATAATCTCGCGAGACGGGATCGTGGATGTACACTGCTGAGGAGTCCCAAAATAGAACGAAACGGCCATTTAGTACTTCCAGGTTTTCCATGGTAGTCTAGCTTCAATTGACTCATGATTTCAACTATACATACCTAATTTTCAGGATGGTAATAATTACAGTAATAGTGATAAAAAGCTTCTGTTAAACATGGTAACAGTAAGGTAGAATAAATAAAGATATTATAAAGCTTTTTTAGTCAGAGTAACTAATATTAAGATGGTGGAGAAGATTTGTAGCTTTCGATAGAGTTTTGTTCGTTGAACTGGATAGTTTAATGATCGAACTTTCATCGTTCTTCTAAATTTTGTGCAGATGATGTCATTCAGAAGAACGATGAAAGCTTCACGACCAGTTCATTCAGCTTAGAGAACAAAAACTCCATCAAAATAACTAATATTAGTTTTATTGTTAAAGCCTTGAATCTTCATAATGAAGATAAATTGGGAAGTTATAATCGGGGACAGATGGCTTAGCATGATAAAATAAAATGTTGAAATTGTAATTAATTAAAACCAGGAGGACCATAGGAAACATAGATAAACCAGTTGAGGGTAGAAGATTTTCGAAGAAAATGGAAGGGGTAGCAGATGACTGTAAAGGAAGAAAGGAATGAAGGAAGAAAAAAAAGAAAGAGAATTATGAAACATTAGGACCATCGTCAAAGAAGAGGTTGTACCATTTCCTTTTGGATACACAATTCCGGTTTTCCCAGATGTATAGCTATTGATTCGGTGATGTTAAGAAGATACAATATAACTGCCTTTGATAGCCTTCTACTTACCTTGTTGATAAATTTCAACACAGAGTTCGCCCTGATTAAACGACCTATGTTCCCAAGATGTTCGATTATTTGGCTTTTTTATTAAACCGTTTCCGCCTCCTTTTAGCCATGCAAAGTAATGTTCTTGAGTTCTTTTGGATAAAGTACGCACCGAATGACCTAGTAGATACCTTTGTTTATTCTAGCTCACTGTTACCATGTTTAAAAGAAGTTTATTATCATCGATATTATTGTAAAGACTGTAATTATTACCATTCTGAATAATGAATTCGTCAAAAAGAAAACCCTTCAGTGAACTAATCTTTCTTATAGATGTTTCAATGGGTATATTCCGTTTACTAAAACATTTCTGCATTTTTTTTTCTCGTTTCTCAAAATACTACTACTCAATTAGACGGAGAAAAAACAAAAACAAACTGAATTCAAACAAAAATTAGACAATAACATCTCATCTAATTTATCTTTAACTGAACAAAATCAATCCATGAATATTGTGAAAGAGCATACACGTTTAGCTCCATTAGCATCATGTGAAGTAGTACAAGATGAATCGGAGTCAATACAATTTAAACAAGAATCATTCAATAATAAACAATTATCTATATCTATAAACAATACTGTTAATAATATCAATAATAATGATAATCAATATCAATCTAATCCTGGTGTAACTGATTCTCTCAATCTTAATTTACATAGGATAACATGTAATCATTTAGATAATCGATTGGATCAATGTAAAACTTTGTTAAATAAAGAAAAACATTTAAAATTGGATCATGTTGGAATAATAAAACAAGAAGAAGTTAAAACAGGCGAACAATATAAGCATAATTTATTAACAGATATATCTAAATCAGATGTGGCCATATCAATTTCATGTGAAAATCAGGTAAGATATATATTTTTGTTAGCCTTGAGTGATGTTACAGGTATGAGGGTGTTTATCACTTCCTGGTTGCTCATATTGTGGATGGGTACCTGAAAATGAAATTTGGATTAGAGTTCGCCATAGTGACCTCAGAGCTTTACCTCAGTGCTTGAGACCGGTCACATACAGCCTCTTTGTGGGTAATTTTTGTGTTAGCTCTGTACTTGTTTAGACTTTACCTACGGAGACGGATACCCATGGAATAAGGAGAAGTGTGCATTTTTAGGGTCAATCTTTTCCAACCCTATCCTTCCTTGTGGGAAGGCAGTATCACTGTTATGATGAAGGAAACACCTTACTGCCATCAGACCTCTATAGAGTCAGCCGTACGACCTCACCCTCAGACTTTGGGTTTACTGTTTTTAATTTTACCGCTCATTAACCGATCTGCCTGAAATGGTAAGACCAAACAATAAATCCTGATCTGTTTATTACAACAGGCAAGCTCTACCACCACGTCAAGGTATCACCGGTTGAGATATATTTTTGAGCATTTATAAATATTAGTAAACCGAGAACCATATTTACATCACAGTAATATGAAATCATTTTTACAGTTGATCAATCACTGAGTAGTGAGTAATGTTATGTTAGCTTAATTCCTTTATTATTGATGGAGTTCTATGGATCAAGTTACAATGTAACCACTATCCCTAGTAAATCAACATCATATGCACTATGTTTTCACATGGGATGGTTAGAGACGGTCGACAGGAAACTTAACTCGACCAAGGTTCCACACTATTTTCACCACTCATTTAAAAAATGTATCTGTAATTTTGATGGAACTAATTCTCTTTGACAGAGTCAATTCTGTGCAACTCAGTACTTCAATTTAAGAACAGTTTGAAATAGAACTAAATCTAAATCTAGGATACTCCGTTAATTACATCCAATCACTTAAGAGTTCATTTTTACTATATGGATTCACTTCATATGCTTATAGACTAGAAAGAATAACATGAATTATTTAGGAACAACCAACAAAAATGGTGTACATACTTTGTGTGCAAATTGTTCTGATTGAAATTGGGTATAGTGAATAGATGTATATTAGGACAAGGCCCCAAACTGTAGAACAATTGAACGTGAGCTGCTATAGTAGATTATAGAAGTTTCATAAATTTTGAATTACAAACTTATCTAAGTTAGACTATGATTGAAAACATAAAATCACTGAACGACCACTACATCATTGTATGTTACTTCTTAGCAGTGCTCAGCTATGACTCTGCATCTTGGGTTTGGATCCAAGGCTTTTAGTCTCACATGCCAACGCTTTTTATAGCGCTATTTATTTATAAATCAACCGTATGATCATTCTAAAGAGAAAAAAATTGTAAAGAGCATGAAAACAGAGAGGTATAAAAGGAAGGTTAATCTCATAGGTTGCTTCAAAAAATTAACCAGCTAACTAAAGCATAGATAAGAAATAACAAGGCATGATAGAACCTACAAGAACATATGTTTCAGCCAATATAGCTCGGTTGGGTTATCACGGTAAGCAAGTCCAATCACCACGTCAAGGTACCTTCTACGGGCGGGAACAAGGAATATGATTGAGAGAAAAAATTGTCTAACGAACTTTTGAAAGTGGCATCACCTAGGTGAGATAAGATAAGTGATTATACATGTTTAAATGCACAAATATGGTTTTATTTCCTTGTCTAGCATTAAGTTTAGTAAAGCGTAATACATTTGGAGTCATTCGCTTATTGATTAGCTTAAAAGATTTTCAAATGTTAACATTATGTTTATTGTCGAAAAGAAAGATTAGCTACTGGATTGCTTAAAACAAGATGTTGATAGATACTTAAGTGGTTGGATGTAGTTAACAGAATATCCTAGAACTAGGTTTTGTGCTATTGAACACTGGTCTCAAATTCTGAAGCTTGGTGAAGCAGAATTAAGGAAATGATGAGGTAAAAGCTATACAGTAGATCTGTAAATTTTAGCAATAAGTAAATTGTTTAATTTGAAGGAAGTTTTCATTCAGAGATTGAGATCAATTAAGAAGTGGGAAGAAATCCTAGTTTAAGATGTCTCAGAAGCGTTCGTCTAAAACACCGACAAACATTGTACTGAGCATGATAACTTTAGTTAAAGAAGATTTGTAGCTCAGGTGAATGATTTTAGCGGAGTTTTGTTCGTTAAACTGGATGGGTGATAGGACCAAGAATCCGATCAAAAGGAGATACTATCAAAATGAAGTGGCAGATAATCACAGGTTACAGTTCAACAATAACTAATCAAGATCAAGGTCAACAGGACAAGATGTGATTCATATGTGGAGAAATTCGAACACTTCACTTGTACCTGAAGTATGTGCTGATGATGTTGCTCAGAAGAACAATGAAAGCTCCACGACCAATTCATTCAGTTCAGAGAACAAAACTCCACCAAAAGAAAGCTTTAGGTAATACGTAGATTGCATTTAATTTATTTATCCAATAACTTTTGAAGACAGAATTATAATACTGATTAGAGGTGGATGATGTCTAGCAGTTAAATCCAGGGTTTGCGTTTCACACTAGTTATGACTCATCAGCTGAATGTACATGCATCCTAGATTTGATGTTCACTGTGAGACTCAAACCTAGTTCCGTTCGTTTCAAATGCCAAATACTAAATAGGATGAAACTCACATCTTGAATTCCACTACTCGCCACCACCCATCTCTGTTTGTAATGCGTGTGACTTAATATCAATATCGCGGCAATTTATACAGGATGCACATATGTCAAGCAGGAACTGATCAATTGCAGTCCTAAACATCAATCGAAAGATTCAAGTCATCAATACAAATGCATCAAAGTAATAATAATAATTTTTCTGGTTAGCGTTGTTTTAGCGAGTTATTTTTCTACGGTATGGGGTCGCTAACCCCTATGCCTAATCCTTCTCCTTTTATCCGGACTTGGGACCGGCAGTAGATCCAGAGGGGTTCCAGGCAGAGTTTAAAGTGATAATTATTTTCAGACAAAGAACTTTGGTTTTTATAATATTGACTTTCGGGCTCAAACGAATCTCCGCTTAGGTAGTATTTCTAGGCTCACAAGTAAGAATAATAAGACCTATTATCTATAGTGATTGATAAACTATTTAGAAATGTATAAGACTTACTAGTGATATCCTGAAAATAACACACGGTAACCTGAATACAATAATAAAACTTTAATTTACTTACACATAGATGAATTATTTTGGTATCTTATTATTATGAATATTACATTTTGTAAGAAAATATTACTAATTTCATATCAGTAGTTAGAGTTAGTTTTGGATCTATCTATTCGAAAGAATATTCGAACATTCACTAACTGAATCAGTTTTCTAAAACTTTATCTGGCTCAAAATCATTTGCAATGGTGTGAGCAGGTGCAGCCAATCTTTGTGTTCTCCCAAATTCTAATCGTTCGAATTCTTCATATTCCTTTCTTTTTTCTCTTTTCAAATTTATTTCACTGAATTATACTCCTTGAATGATATCTTCAAACCCCAATCTTTCGGATTACTGCTTATACTCATACTACCTCTACCACTATGGGATTTGAATCGACAAACTACATCTCTGTACTAATGTAGTATGGCAACTCGAACTGATGTATGTACGTACGAAGTTCTACATTGTTACTAACTCACTGATCTGGCGATTTATAAGTTGTTATTTATTCGAACATTCATTTTAAAGCATACTAGAAGATCAAGGTGATTTGTAAGCATACCGAAGGATTTTAATCTATACTCATGAAGAAGACTGTGTAATGAGTAATAAAGTCTTCAGATTCACTTTCTCTCTCATTTATATTTAAAGTACAGAAGCTTAACATTTTAGGAATTAGTAAATCATTCAAGCGTTTCATGCTCGGTCACACCAAATGTTTCTATGATTGGTCATAGATTCACTATCTGTTTAGTAGTAGTATTGTGATATGTGCTACTGATGTCGACAGATATAAGTAGGATGTATCATCAATTGAAAGTTGAATGACTGACGGAGGAAGACTAAGAAGATCGAAGAGAAGAAAGTGAAAACAGTGAGTGTTAGGTGTGTAAACGAAGGAATAATTATGTCTGGGTTAACTGATTTACATTTTGCAAATGAATTATGTACAGTATGGTTCTCCGATCTTACTAAGAGATTCTGTAATTTTTCGGTTGAATACATTCGGTTGTACCCACTGGTGTTCTCTCCCGTTATTCTCTACTCATATTATCTACAGAAATTAGTTATTTTTATGATTAATAGTTTGATTACTGACTACTTAGATCATTGAATGTTTACATTGAATACGAATTTTATGTTTAATGCCCATTTTTTCTCTCTTTTAAAGCCAACTGAACATTTCAGATATCCACCAACTGAAGAGATTGATTCTAAGAATGTTACAAAGACAAATGAGAAAAGTTCAGATCAATTAACGATATTGACTAGTCAACAACAATTGAGTTTTCTTCAATGGCCATCTAATAATCTTATTCATAGCAGCAATAATAATAATAATACTAATAATAATAATAGTAGTCAGTATTCAAAACTAACAAAATCTCCATCATCACTTAATTATTCAAATGATAATAATCGATTATTAGAGAGTTATTTAAATCAAACTATTGGTTCATCATTACTAGCAACAGAAACCAATACAGATCGAATACAATCACAAAGAAGTTTTGATAAAGTTCCTGAAGGTAAAGATTAGTTTATAAGTAATCATAATAAATTGTGATTTATTATTTCATGCATAATATCCAAGTTACATTATTGATGATATTCGATAAAAGTATAGTATAAAGCTGAATATTTATTTATTTAAACACATAAACATAGGTACAAGAAGGTATCAAATAGATATGTGCCACATAAGTCACTTGATTTCTGTGCTGCCTGTGATACTAACCAGGTTCCTAAACCGAAACAGGTGGTTTTCTTAGAGGGATACACCTCGAGCCTTTGACCCAAAGGTCTGATCCACAAGACAGTGGAGCAACGTAAGGAGATGCAGTCCCATAGAAGCCGGTGACCAACGATTGGTTCATACCCCATTTGTTCCTTCAGGATAATGGAGCCTATGTGCACCATTGGTCTGGAGTCAGGGTTTTCCTACTCCCCTACGTGAACTCTCCGTCTCCACACATCCGGTTAAATCGTCAGACATTCGCTTTTCGCTCTCTCAATTTCGTAAACAATACCTGTGGTGTGAGAAAACAGTGAGTAGGACTTCCCTGGCAGTGGCTGTATGCGCGTGACCGTATTAGAGCATTTCGAGAGAGAGAGAGAGAGAGATGACTCTCTCCACTATCAGCCGTACCAGGGCATTTGGGGTCATAAAGCTGAATAAATCAGATTAACTGGAAAATTTCTGAGTCAGATTCAAAAATAAAGATGAGTAGTAGAAATATCTTCATATTTACACTATTCCTAGATCATAACTGTAAATCTTCAATTCTCAAATAAATCTCAATCTAATCGCATTGCATTATATGGACCAATTAATTGGATAAAGCCATATGGATTTTTTTTCTTTTTGCACAAATTTCATTTAATTTTGTGTTTATAAATCATTTTTCAATTCTCATTGATGTTAATTCTCAATGAAAAATTTAACCTTAAACCCCTGATACTAATTATATAGTCCTAGCAACTAGTCCAAGAAGAAATATAAGGAATCCTAGAAACTCATTTGACACCTTTTATGGATACAAGAAGATGTATAATTTACTATCTATATTGACAGAATTTATATTTGGTTATTCTTTTCATTGTACAAGAAGATCAACTTGTAGGATATTTTAATAGATTCATTCGAAATGTATAGTCTGTTTGTTTTCTTTTCAATGAACTATCTAGTTACAGAAGGTACTTTCTGATTGATTATGAACTGACTAGAATTTTATCGTGGTTATTTTAAGCTTATCCCCATGTTATAAACATGGTTAAAATAGTTGTGTGTTTTTTTTCTTTTTTGAACATGTTTACGTTCATTTAGTAGCTCAATATTGCATTACTTACTTACTTATGCCTGCTACTCTCAATGGAGAATAGGCCGCCAACCAGCATTCTCCAACCAACTCTGTCCTGGGTCATACTTTCCAGTTCTATCCAATTTCTGTTCATTTTTCTCATATCTGTCTCCATTTCTTCAAGTAATGTGTTCTTTGGTCTTCCTCATTTCCTTTGGCCTTGAGGATTTCATGTGAAGGCTTGTCTTGTGATGCAGTTCAATAATGCATATAAAGGTATAATTTTCAGTGTGGAGTTCGTTCCAATCATTAAAGTACTCATTCACTATGTGGATGGAAAATCATTTAAAAGTGCTTGATACTGTACATATATTATGTTAATTATGTTTATAACTAATCAATCAAATCGTTTACTTTAAATTTAAATAGTTTAGTAAGGATCAAATAGCTTGGTTCCTGGTTTCATATAATGATGATATTTATTATTGAAACTACACACTTGATTTGATAATTATTTTGGTGATTATGAATTAGCTTACTATCCAATATAAAGGCTATCAACAATCGTGTTATTGGAAGCGATCGACAGCTTTTTTCGTTCTCGCATAGAACTTTTCAGTAGTACTCATTAGTAACACTATCGAGGATCGAACTCAAAACATTTAGATCTCTCAACTAGTGTTTAATCTTCACATCACTAATTTTAAAGTCCAATATTGCTCATTCCTAGCTTTGGTCGACTTTCGATATTGTGCGAGAGCCTTCAGGTGCTTCCAGATGGCGAGACTCTAATTTATAGACGGGCCAATCAGAAGCGTTTGAGAGGCTTCAAGGTCACGGAGCAAAATTCACTGCTTAATGCTAACGTACGATCGGTTCACAAAGAATTTTGTACAAAATGTGATTATTGAAGGGCTATAACAAATAAAACGGCGAGACTTTAATTTGTGGACGAATCACTCAGGTATAAGATAACAGATCTCGGATTTTAACGCGAAAGCCTTTCATCCATTTGGCTAAATAAATTTCTGGCATTATAGCTGATGTCAGTTCGTGATGAGAATCCTATATATATATATATATAATTAATTCCTGAAGAAGCGCTGGAAGTGGATAGGACATACATTCGGAAAGTACCCAGCTGAGTCATAAGGCAAGCCCTCACATGGAATCCTCAGGGCCAAAGTCAGAATTTTCAATACATATGTCAAGACAATTCCACTGTATAGGGCGGAAACCTGGAGAACTACGAAAGCCATCATCCAGAGTATACAAGTGTTTATTAACAGTTGTCTATGCAAAGTACTTTGGATCCGTTGACCAGACACTATCAGCAACAACCTATTGTGGGAGAGAACAAACCAGATTTGAGAAGAGGATGAAATCAGGAAGAAGTGCTGGAAGTGGATAGAATACATATTGATGAAAGCATCCAACTGCATCACAAGACAAGCCTTCACATGAAATCCTCAAGGCCAAAGGAAATGAGGAAGACCAAAGAACACATTACTTAGAGAAATGGAGACAGATATGAGAAAAATGAACAAAAATTGAATAGAACTGGAAAGGATGGCCCAGGACAGAGTTGGTTGGAGAATGCTGGTTGGCGGCCTATGCTCCACTAGTAGTAATAGGCGTAAGTAAGCAAGTACTTAAGTAAGGGACATTAGGACAGACAATAGATTTATTTGTTATATTATTTCATTCAATATCGTGAAGAGATTTCCTCAAAAGCCTTCTTTTTAATCTCCACTAATTTCCTATTCAACACTATCATTTACTCATATTGTACAAGACTATATATACAGTTTACTAAAATAAGGGAATATGACGTCATAAACAGTATTTCAGAAGATTTCAAGTATTAATCTAAAGCATAATGACATAATTACCGTGTAGTGAACCATACCTGATTAAGATCAACTCAAAGTATTGATTATATGGAAAATAACATACACATTTGAAGATGATCTTCAACTCAATTTGATCATCAGCAATTTACAATAAACTTACTAGACAAGTATTTTCATCTTATTTTCATTTAGATAATAAACAAGAACAACAAATACAATTAGAATGTCATAAACAATCAAAAGATACTACTGATTTATCAAATAATACATCAATGAAACAATCAACTATAATGTTACAATCATCATCATTAACAACTAATAATAATAATAATAATAATAATAATAATAATAATAATAATAATAATAATAATACAACTAATGATTATCCAGTTACTGATAGTTTAGATTTAGCTACACGATTAACATTTTTAAAAAAATCTCCTAAAACATTTACAGCATGTCAATCATTAGCAAAACATACAATGATAGCAGCATTGAATTGTTCTGGAGCATTTGTACATTTAAAACCAACATCAATAATACAATATCCAATTCATCAATCATCATCATCAACTAATAATAATCATAATAATCATAATAATGATGATAATCATAATCATACACAATTAAAATATTTAGATAATTATTTACAATGTAAAAATATCATGATTCATTCATCTCCATCAAGTCCAAAAAAGTATTCAACAGAGATTTGTTCCGATATGAAAGTAAGTGTTAGTTTTTGATTTTGGTGTTGTTATTATTATTATTGTTGTTGTTGTTGCTGCTGTATATTGATTTGGTAAAATTTCAATTCAATCATTGAACTTGTTAAGGGGGGGGGGGTAGAAATCTAGAAAACTCCTTAAAAACAAAAGCCAAGAAAGAAGCTGAAGACATGGAGAAGCATCTTATTCAATCGTCATTTCATTTTATGATAGATGTAAGTAATGGTGGTGTAGATCTGTTGCCTACAGAAAGACTTCTTGAACTTGAGTATGCGAATGATATTGTCTTACTATATGATAATGCCCAAGCCATGCAATCCACACTTAATTAGTTGGCAATTAATGTCCATAGGTACGGTATGTGCTTTGCACCTTGTAAGTGCAAAGTACTTCTGCAAGACTGGCAGGATTCCAATCCTGTACTCACTCTGGAGGGTGAGTAGATAGAAGTAGTCGAGAAGTTCGTGTATCTAGGTAGCTGCATGAGTGCTGGTGGTGACGTGAGTGAAGCCAATCTGGGCCATCTTTGGCGCCTTCGTGATGTTAGTCTGGCTGCAAAAGGTCGGATGAGAGCAGTTTTACCCTATGCTTGTGAAATCTGGCATGTTAGGATGTTAGACGACTCTCTGTGTTTGATCATTGGTGTCTCCGAAGGGTTGCTGACATCCAGTGGCACCATAATGTTAGTAATGCAGAGGTTCGGCATCGTGTGTTCTGGCGCAGAGACGATAATTCGATTGGTGTCATCATCTTGAAACACGGACTTCGGTGGCTTGGACATGTCCTACGAATGTCGTCCCAGCGAATTGCACGTCGTGCGCTATTTGCCGACGCTGGGACTGGTTGGGAAAAGCGGAGAGGTAGTCAGTGTATGGCATGGTGTCGGGGTATGAAAGAAAGCTGTAAAGGGCTGGCTTGTGTTGGTCCTTCACAACTCCCTGGCTGGAGTCTGGGAGATGGTGTGATACACAGTGGCTAGAGATGTTGTCGGATATGTTTCAGAATAGAAGCCAGTGGCGATCGTGCTGTAACCTTATTTTACTTCATGAAAAGTGGCTGTAACTTCCTTAACTGAAAGATTTCTTTTGGTTGTATGTTTCCGTTTCCCCCATTATTATTATTGTTATTTCACTACCCTATACTAATCTGTGGTCCTTATGGTTCTTTCTTTTTTTCTTATACGCACCTTACATTCTGTTTCTCTTTCCATTCTCATTGTTTTGTGTGGCGCATATATATCTGGTACCTCCTTGTACCAATATTTATGTGTTCAAATAAACAAAAATAAATGATCGTATCCAAACAGCGTTCAGTAGACGTTTTGCTAGAAAGATCTAGGAAGTGAAAAGTCACACATCAAGTTTCTGATTGTATGATTACTTATACTGCTGTGGTGTGAGTTACTTATATTCATATAAGTAGTATATAACAGTATTCAGGCATAGAATGTATTTCAGTAGAAGATCGATAAGGAATGAACGGGAACGGAACACGGTTTGTAAGAAAATGTATGGCCAATGAAGTCTGAGACAATGAACTGATATTTGCAAAAGGAACAGTTAATTTTGAGATGACGGATTGATATTTTGTAAATTAACAATTTACTATATGGTTCTCAGATTTTAGTGAGGTACTCTGTAATTTTTTGTCAAATACATTTGATTGTCGCCACTCGTGTTCTTGTTCCCTACACTGCTACTATGTTTAGTAGCATTATGGGATTTTCCGGAAACCCAATATCTTGAATTGATTAAAGTTTGACACTATACACCGGTGGATTCCTGGTCTTTGGTCTAGAAGTTATTTATATTAAGTTCTATCTCTGGCTGAGATGTGAATTTGCACTTCTGGGAACATCCATATTTAGATGAAAACTTTTTCTAGTGCTTTCTGATTTTCAATGGATGTTTGACTTTGGCTGGTTCGTGTTATCATTCACTATTCTTCACAAATCTCTATGTTGAAATTAGTTTAATGAATAGGTGATATTCACTATAAATTAACCATATTCTGAAGGGATAATGATATTTCTTTAAAAGGAAATAAAAACTTTAGTTATTCGTTTATTCTATTAATTTAAGTATAAATTGAATATGATTAAGCACTGAAACTATTGACAGAGAACCTTGCATTGCAAACTCTTTAATCGAACCAGACAAGAAAAATCATTATTATCATCTGCTGGGATCACCGGGTAAGTAATAGTAAGGTTAAACGCAGGGCATTACAGAATGATGATAAATCAGTTGATGAGGTTGTAAATCTTCATCGACTGAGATGGTTGGGCCACGTGTTGCGTATGCCTGAACACCGATTACCATGACACGCAATCCTGACTACTGTTGGGGATGATTAGAAGAAAGTTAGGGGCAGCCAAACCAAAACGTGGCATCAGTGCTTCAAGTCACTAACTTCTCGTTTGAGCCATGTTGGTAGATGCAGACTACTTGGTTGGCGTCCGCGTGACTATCGTAACCAATGGTTGAAGACTCTATGTGAAATGGCTCAGAATCGATCACAATGGTGTAGGTGTATACACTCTCTGTCTTCCCTTAAACTGTGAGATTAAAATCGCTTCATATCTTTCTTTCTACCTACTAGTTCTTTCTTTCTGTATTATATCCTTATATACAATCTTTCTTTTATATATTTCCGCTATTGAATTAACTACTTCTATGAATTTGGTGTTCATCTTGTTTGTGCTAATGAGGTATGGCAACTTGAACTGATGCATATATGTGCCTGGTCGTACGTTGTAGCTGATTGATTGATCACTTAAATTCCAATCATTGTTTTTCAATACACTTGATATCTTCAGCTTGGATACTGTAACAGCTTCGGTGTTTTTTTTCTTAATATCATTGTTATTCTGACTTTTAATCATAATATATCATATTAATAGAATGAAAAACAATGTGTGAATACACGTGGTACCTCTCAAGAAAGCGAGAACACTGATATGGATTCATTCAAAACTGTTAAACATATTTCTACAAAATCCACTGATATTTTAGAAATTTCAACAAACATTAAACAATCAATTCAAAGTCAATACAAACAGACTGGAGTAGTTAATTCAAATCAAACAACAAATGAATTGGTGGGTCTATATTTTGATTTGCCTATTTATCACTATTTTAATATTTAATACATCCATAGATTATGAGTACTATGAATGTATTTTCTTAATACAGAATGATGAACATTTAATTGAGAAAATGTGTACTTTAAGTAATGTCATTAATTATTGACATTATTAAGCTACTGGTTTGACCTGGTGACCGAGCTTGGATATAATGATGATTCAATTTAATTGTATTGTCTAGAACACTTAGTCTTTTAAGTCCTATCATACGCGGTAGATCATTTCATGGTAGTAACACCAAGAGCAACAAACTTAAGGTCTAAGAACAAAGTCGTACTGCTTACTGCACTGGAGTGTGATAAAAGTAAGATGTTATCTTCAGACATTCATTATCTGATTTCTAGCAGAGGATGGAATAGGTTAGAAATGATAAGTACTAATAATATTTCACCTCAATATGACCTACGAATTTCCGATTGTGGCGCACACACACACACACACTTCTATTACAACATACAGTATTCACAACTTGATATGACCTCGGAAGTATTTCAAATGAAAAAATAAACTCGCTGTCAGGATTTGTGAATTTGCCATAGGATAAAATACGACATAACGGTTCACACTATCTAGCAGTTATAACAATCGCTCTGTAGATACTTTAACCTCGTTAAATGTTTTACAATGAGAAGATGAAGACGGAAATGATGTTTTGCTGGGCAACAGTAGGATCACAATGACCATACACTCTGATTATTTTGACTTACAAAAATTGCAGACCAATACAATTAATAAGGATCCTGAAACACTGTAAAGTATTCTTCATAGATCTAATTTTTATTCTAGCAATACCGTTGAAGTTCAAAACTGATTGCATAATTACAAACATGACACACAGCAAGTGCTACATTAAGTGGTCAAAAATGCCACGTCTTCATGGCTACTGACAAAAAGTCATAGCTACAGTCTTTAGAAATCTGGTTTCCCGGTTAAGGTATGACTCTTTATCACTCGTAGTTGGTTAGCGGTATTACTGTAGTGAATGAGAACATAGGTGAATACAACGTATTAAATTTACAGAGTTACTTCATAAAATGCAAAAATCATACTCTAATACTTCATTTGCAAAATGTTCATTAACTGTCTCAGACTTCATTATCCCTTCGTTTCCAAACCAATCACATTCTGTTCCCGTTTTTACCTCTTCGATCTTTTTAACTTTCTGTTGCCAGATATTCTATTCCTGGTTAGTGTTATATACTACTTATGTTAACATAAGTAGCACACACCACATTACTACTATGCTATACCCTCAAGGACTGAGAGTTTTACACTGATTAGTCATTAAATACTAACCACTGACATGAAATTCAATCAGGATTAAATAATAAAGAAAATGATATTGGGTACTGTCACACAAGAGATAATGGTAAACCGAAAACAATGTTCTAAGTTTACATTGGCTACATCACTTCGCATTATAAACCTTGTTGGTACTGAAAAAAAGAAGTGGATATTAAAACCGTTATATGCATACTAAAGAACTTTTATATGAATATAAAGGGAGACAAATTAAATATAGAACAGAGAGTGGGATGATAATAATCATAAACAAAATAAAATGTAGTCATATTACCCTGGTAACAAAAATAGATCAATTATTTCTAGGCCAAATTCAAATGTACTTAAAAACGTGATATTTAAATATATATATTGCAAGTGATGAATGCTTGCCATGTGACGTAGTTGGGTGCTTTCCTCAATGTGTATTTTATCCACTTACAGCACTTCTTCCTGATTTCATCCTACACTAGAATCTGGTTTGTTCTCTCCCATAGTAGGTTATTGTTGATAGTGTCTGGTCAACGGATTCGAAGTATTTTGTGTAGACAACTGTTAATAAACACTAGTTTCTTCTAGGTGATGGTTTTCGTAGTTCTCCAGGTTTCCGCCTCATACAGTAGAACTGTCTTGATATTTGTATTGAAAATTCTGACTTTGGTGTTGGTTGACAGACAGTTGTTTTGAATTCCAGATATTCTTCAGTTGTAGGTGTGCTACTCTTGCTTTGCCGATTTGCACCTTGACATCTGTATCAGATCCACCGTGTTCATCAATGATGCTGCCCAGATATGTAAACGTTTTTACATATTCCAAATCTTCTCCGTCAAGTGTGATTCGATTGATGCATATTGTGCTGTATCGGAGAATCTTGCTTTTCCCTTTGTGTATGTTGAGACCTAGTGCTGCTGAGGCTGCTGCTACATTGTTTGTCTTGATTTGTATTTGTTGTTGCGTTTGGGATAGAAGAGCCAGATAATCTGTGAAGTCTAAGTCATCCAGCTACATCTTAGCTGCTTACTGTATCCCATGCTACCCTCTCAGATATTGACGTCTTCATAATCCAGTCGATCACTAGGAGAAAGCGAAAGGGTGAGAGTAAGCAACCTTGCCTGACACCGGTCTTTACATCGAACGAGTCTATCAGAAGAGATGAGTTCACTATGAGTTCTGAATCAATATTAATTTTCATCATGTTTAAATGTAAAGACTGTTGAAATTAAATCAAGTAACTTAGATATTTGTATGGAAATATCTTTTTTGTTTTTTTTAATCAGCGTCAAACTATTCGAAAAGTCAAAGGAAAAGAAATGGACCATTTAGATGAAAATAAACCATCTTTGGAAACAATCAATTCATTGTCATCAAGTAACATTCAACGAATTTCAGATATAATGTTAAAAGATAGAAAAGATTCACTTATTCCTCAACAGTTAGGAATTGTTGACTGTGCCAGAGGATCTGTAGTATCATGTAAGTTTATTCCCTCACACTTTAATACTTATACTATCTAAAATAAAATGTAATTTATTCATTAGAATTAATGAATTATATTTAAAAGTGCATGTTTTGTCCTATTTGAGACTCATCAATTGAATGTACCTGAATTCCAATGTTTTTGTGTTCACATTTGAACTTAAACTCATTACTATGAAATTTAAATACTAAAAGGTTAGGTATGGAGTTCAATTAGTCACTTCCTTGTTCATTAGTTATGATATTCATATTATTATGAGTAAGTGTTTGAATGCTTTCGTTTCTTGATAATCATGGCTGAATCTCTACCAGTCTTTGCTGGATATACACGAAGATGATAAATTATTTTGTATCAAAAACCGATTAAAAATGAAAAAAACAATGAGTCAACAGAACATGGAGTTTCGTTCTTGTAGATGATGTCGATTGTAAGGATCATTAGATTGATTTACTGTCATATTTAAAGATTATATTCTTGATATGCCGCGTATGACTTCAGCATTCGAACGCTCGTACCTTCTGAGATCGCAGATGAGAAGACATATGACAAGTGAAAAAAAATGTCATTCCAAACAGTGTCAATTATGGTACCAAACTGTCAGGTATTTATAGCTTTTAGTAAAAATGAAATCATAATTATAGTTATCCAATCCACACATACCTTTACATATTTGAGCAGCATCATTGATCAACACGGTGGATCTGATGCAGATGTTAAGGTGAGGATCAGAAAAGCAAGAGCAGCATATTTACAACTGAAGAACATCTGGAACTCAAAACAACTTTCTGTCAACCAACACCAAAGTCAGAATTTTCAATACAAATATCAAGACAGTTCTACTGTATGGGGCGGAAACCTGGAGAACTACTGAAAGCCATCACCTAGAAGAAACAAGTGTTTATTAACAGTTGTCTACGCAAAATACTCCTGATCTGTTGACTGGACACTATTAGCTTCAGCCTACTATGGAAAACGACAAATCAGATTCTAGTGTAGGATGAAATCAGGAAGAAGTGCTGTAAGTGGATAAAATACACATTGATGAAAACACCCAACTGCATCAAAAAGCGATCCCTCACATGAAATCCTCAAGGCCAAAGGAGAAGAGGAGAACCAAAGAACACATTACGCCGGGAAATAGAGATAGACATGAGAAGAATGAACAAGAATTGGATAGAACTAGAAAAGAAGGCCTAGGACAGAGTGGGTTGGAGAATACTGGTCTACGGCTTATGCTTGATTGGAAGTAACAGGCGTAAGTAAATAAGTAAGTAATCCACACACAGGGGGTTATTAGCATTGTCCAACAGGGAAGCTACATGCAGTGATTCTGGAATATTTTTGGAAACGAAGCAGTCATTCTTCAGTAGCATTGAGAAAAATGGTTGCACCATATCCCTCTTTAAATGAAGTAAAATTTTAAACTATTGTATCCTGGTTTATTGGTTTAAAGGTAAACTGTTACCACGAGACCAGAGTGTCCTGGGTTCGGTTCGTGGTGTAGTAGTGGATGTGCATTACTGAGGAACTTCAAACTATGATGAAATAGCCGTACTGTGCACCAATGTGATGTGAATTATAACTAACAGAAATAATCAACAAACTACTGTCGAGTCTGTTGCAATTTACCGAAGTGTTATCTATCAAGGGAAGCCTTAATCACTTCAACTCATAAGAGAATCCAAATTAAGATGGCTTAAAGTAATTCTCCGATAACCGATACATCAAAAGCAAACATCTTTTAAATTTCAATATTCAGATAGTTATTAGCTTAATGATAATGGATTGGTTGTTAGTGTTAAAATCATTTTACAGTGTTTAAATAATTTAACTGTTCTCCTACTATCCCCATGTTCATTCATCTTAAGACTTATTAATATCATTAAGACAAGAAATAACATCTTTTTATAGGGTCCGGAGTTTCAAATGTATCAAAACCTAAACGTCCATCAGTGTTCTCATGCCCTGAAGCAGAAATTGAATCACCAAGATCAAGTGTTATCAATCCATCTCTTGGTGAATTAGCTTCTAATAAACGAACTCGACCAGGAGCAGTAGTCACTTCATCTAGAAGATCAAAACGACGGTAAGTGTCAGTTATTTGTTTATAAATATTGTTTCGAAGTATTTAAGTAATGAATTTCACTTGAAGGACTATAACCTAGTTTTTTTTCTAGTTTCTATTGTTAAATGGTAGTTTCAATGTTCAAGTGTAGTTTCAATAGCTTATTTCCAATTTATATCACTTTACTGACCTGTTCTATCTTCTGATTGGTTGCTTTCATTATTCAAAGGTCAAGGTTATTGTCATGTGTGTACTCCTCCTGGAGTCCCTCCGGGGGCTACTGCCGGTCCCAAGCCAGGATAAAAGAAGAAGGTTGGGCATGGGGTTAGCCACCCCATCTCGTAGAAAACTAACTCGCTAAAAAAACGCTAACCAGAAAAATATTCTATCACCATTTCAACCTAGAATATCAAGCTTTTTCCTGAAATTCCTGACTTCTCTCTTCAATCCCGTGAGAGTCTATTGTTGGAGCGCTATATATTATTCTTCTAGTCTAATTAGATAGACTAGAAGAATCTCATAATCGTTTGTAATTCACAGTCTTAAAATTGAATAAATTCATAGAGAATTAATTTGCTGATAGAATGTAGTTATCCTTGTTGGGGTGATCCAGAAAACTTCTCACAAAAGACAAGAAAGGATCAGGAAAACACTAAGAAGCATTTTTATCTAATCACCGTTCACTTGAAGTTTAACCAGAAACATCAAGAAAGTGAAAAGTCACATATAGAGTTTCTGATTGGCTGATTACCTATACTGCTACTATGTTTAGTAGTATTCCAGAATTTTCGGGAAAGCCAAGGACATCTAAAATACTATAAAAACCCTGTATTTTCTGTACTAGAACGAATTTTTGAAGTAAAGTGCTTCTCGTATGTTTTGCACCTTTTCTGTCGTGTTCAGGTCGCCGTATAGTTCTAGCTTGGGGGTTATGAGAATAACTTAGGAACCGAATATAACATTCATTGAGCAAGACTTATCAATCACCATGAAATAGTTTGAAGTATAGACTTATTGAAAAGTGTCTAATGTTGTATTGGTTTTAATAGTTATTCCATGATCATAACTCTCTTCAAAACCAAATAACTTCAGAAGATCTCTTGTCTACTCATGAATCATATGACTGGCTTCCCAAAGATTTAAGTAATAGCTGTAATTAATGGAGTTCAACTTCGTTGATCATTTGATGCCTACAGTAATTGCTTTTCATGTCACTCTCAGTTTCTATTCTAATGGACATCGACACAGTTCGGATCAAGAACAGGTGATTGGTTTGATTAGAACGTGAGTATGGTGTCACGCTAACAACCGATAACATTCACAATAATAATAAGGATAGGAAAACATATAACTCATCTAATACCTGTCAGACTATTTACTAATTTGATTAGGCGAACAATAATCTTTCTTCGCCCATCCATCAGTTTTCATTAGTTAAACACCTGAAATCTTTGTTCTCTATACCTAATGCACCGATTTTTTACTTGTTTGATGGAGCTTCAACTTGATGATAATAACATGTGGACCTTTGGATTTAAATATGTTTTTATTTACTGCTGTTATTTTAAGATCTGTCATTTGTTTTCTATGAATCTTCTGTTGTTCAATCAACCAGAATCTTTTTGTATGGAGATTTCTATATTCTTTGAAGATAAATCTCATGATGAAAGTACACCTTACCGCCTAACTCATAACCGACCTTTTGTTATGCCCCGATGAGAATAAGAAATACTAACTGTTGGGCTCTATTCCTGGGCTATTACTATACGTATATTTTTATCGCATAATTGTTAAATATTCCTCTTATTATAAGCTTTATTTTGACCTATGAACTATGATTATACGATTTACCAACCTTGAATTATGCCCTGTCTATTAAATCACTGTCTCTCACATTCACAGCCACATTTGGCTAAATCTTGTACAAATGTTGTTTCCTATTTTATGGTACGATGTGTGGTCTGTTTGGTTTGTATATAAACCCAGTATGTTTGAAATAAATGATTCATATCACAGAGGTCGAGATTTGTGTTCTGGACTTAACAGACAGAGCTAGGCAGTAAGAAGGACTGATAAGTACTCTAGACGTACGGGTTTTACGCGTCATTGGTTAGATTGACAATCCATTGCTCTCTAATTGGCGGTATCTTTATGTTATACATTAACAGGGCACACAGATCACAAGTTAAAACACCTTTACAAAGTAAGACTGTTTTTTACTTATTCATAATGCAAGTAGCATGAATGAATAAATTCTGAAAAAGTTTCTGTCTAGGAATTAATGGTAATGCTAAGAAACAGAGTGAAAAGAATCCTTTGCAATTATCATAATGAATACGTGTTCAGTAAGTTCCATGGTTTCAAATACTAAGAACCTTTAAATTACCCTTTAACCCCCCCCCCCGAAAAAATCACACATCTGTTTACATTCTAATTCTACTGAATTTGTATAGTTTTTTCCATCATTCTTAATATTATGCAAGTTGTTCATCATAGAGTTTCGAATACCGTAAAAACTTCAATAGCCTCTATCTGAAATTCAATCGTTTCGTCAATAAAACATACTTGTATCATTTTCGTGTTGAAGTTATTTTTGATAGGAAATAATTAAGAACCAGGAATCCATAGTAGATAGATGTTTTGTTTTATGTTAGGATCTCTTCATCAGTTCTCATTCATGGTTCCATGTACAGAATGATGCCTAATATACATAGGGTGTGTCAAATTCTTTAATCCAACCACATGCAATATGATTGTTGCGTTCCGTGATAATTCAATCTGGTTACATATAAACGTTTCGTAAAAGCTTGCAAAACCTACTGTGCTAGTGAGAAGATTAAGAGAGATAACTGATAGATTCTTATTGACAAGCCGAATTAAATGCATTTTTCCTTCTGACCTAGACAAAGACATATAAGGTGAGAACTTGACTAAGTGTATAATCGGCCTCTTCTAATAGCTCAGATTGATTTCAATCTCATCCATCGTTTTTTATTGGAATGCCGTGAGAGCACATGCATGTGGTATGTCAAAACTAGCCCAATCTATTACGTATTAAACTGCAATGGTTATCTCAATGAAATCACTAACCAATCTAAGTTAGGAAACCACTGAAAACTTGGAAGCATTGGATGTCGTAGTATGGGACTCTTCAGAGTTACTCATCTGCAAACCCTCACGTGGCAATCAAATCCAGGACCTTCGGTCTTGTGCGAACCCGAAACCTCTAGACTGCAGAGTCAGCATCCAACGGTGTTAATGTTTAACTTCAATTTTAAGTACCAAGTCCTATGAAACGTCCCTTATAACCGTTCATAAGCTTGTGCAAACTTGTGATGTAGATTCATCGTAGTAGGCTTAATTATACAGATGTTGAGTCCGTTACATTGTGTACGTATGAACAGAACTGATAACAAACATTTTTGATGTGACTATAATTTATGGACAAACGAATGATTTAAGTCTAGTAGGTCTTGGATTCTGGCACAAAATTCATTCAACCATATGACTAACGAGCATTGACATTATAGCTAATGTTAGTTCGCCATAAAAACCCTTACTTTAATTTATAACCTTAAATCCTAACTTTAAATCTATTGGGGAGATTCAAAGTATCCATTGAAAAAGTTCAGAGGGACCCTGAAGACTCTGAGAAGCATTTTATCTAATCGGCATTCAATAGAAGCATCTTAGATACATCTTGAAAGTGAAAAGTTACGTGTCACATTTCTGATTGGATGATTTCTTATCCCGGTACTATATTTTGTATGGTTGCAAAAACTTTCATAAGCACAAGATCATGTGGAATACTACAAATACCCTCGACTTGCTGTACATAAACTAACTTTGGAGTAAAGCGTTCTTTTCACACTTTGTGCCTATTCTCTCTTGTTCAAGTTGTGCAGTTATAGCCAGCGGTTATTAGAAGAGCTTAAAAAACTGATTCAAACGTTCCGTCAAAAGGCTTATCAAAATCCTAATCTTATGCTAATTTACAGCTTACTTTAGGTCCTGGTAGGTTGGTGAGTTGTTTCAAGGTCACCTTGGAGCCACTCAAAGGCCCTCCATAAATCGTGGTCTCACCATTTTTTCTATATTACAATTACTTAGTCAATATTGGGTACTTGATAGCATAGTATTATAAGTTTGGTTGTTTCTTCTTCTTGTAGATCGAGTAACACGGCAGCTGCTCAAGCATTTGCAGTCGCAACAGCAGGCAGTGCTAATCCTCTAGCTGCAGTCGGAATTATGGGTTTAGGACCAAATCTTTTTCGTTCCAGTGGCTATCGTTTCACTGCTGGTACAGCGACTTCTATAGCTTCACAAACTGGTCTAAGATCAGGCCTAATTCCTCATTCCAATTCTTCTATTGGTAATACTACTAATAATAGTAATAGTCCGATTATCAATAGTGGTAGTAGTAATAACAGTAGTAATGTTATGTCTACAGTTTTACTAAATCGTTCACAAGTTCAAAATACTCCTAGCTATACATATCCACTATCCCCTGGTATTTCTAATAAAGTAATGTCACCAACAACCATGGGAACAAGTGGAACAGTAGTAACAACAACAATAATAACCTCATCAATTGTATCAACAACACCGACAGCAAATACTACATTTCGTTTAAATTTAAATAGAAGTGGACTAAATCTAATTACAACATCAACATCAGGAACAATAACAAACACTAATTCAACATCAAATAACAATGCATTCAATTTTCATCCGTATAATTTAACTAGTCCAACTTTAATACAATCATCATGTCTTGGTGTTGGATCCAGTACAGGACATTGTACAAATCAAGCAAAAAGAAATACAATGTTAGCGACAGCATCATGTTTACGTGTATTAAATGTTGTAAGACACTGGATAACTAAATTTCCAGATGTGAGTTAACATGACTTTATTATTATTATTATTATTATTATTATTATTATTATTATCAATAATATAGTCAGTCATTGATGAAGATTACCATCATAGAATGTGAGAAGTGTGTACATTGGTTCAATTAGTCAAAACTCATGCTAACAAATTAAGGGAACTGACAATGAGATATCCGATGACTGAGATGGTCCAGCCACGTGTTACGTATGACTGAACACCGATTACCACGACACGCAATGCTGACTACTGTTGGGGATGATTAGAAGAAAGTTAGGGGCAGCCAAACCAAAACGTGGCATCAGTGCTTCAAGTCACTAACTGCTCGTTTGAGCAATGTTGGTAAATGCAGACTACTTGGTTGGCGTCCGCGTGACTATCGTAACCAATGGTTGAAGACTCTATGTGAAATGGCTCAGAATCGATCACAATGGTGTAGGTGTATACACTCTCTGTCTTCCCTTAAACTGTGAGATTAAAATCGCTTCATATCTTTCTTTCTACCAACTAGTTCTTTCTTCCTGTACTATCTCCTTATATGCAATCTTTCTTTTATATATTTCCGCTATTGAATTAACTACTTCTATGAATTTGGTGTTCATCTTGTTTGTGCTAATAAGGGATGGCAACTTGAACTGATGCATATATGTGCCTGGTCCTACGTTGAAGCTGAATGAATGACTGACAAAGAGTTGAAAAAAAAATGAGTGAGAGAGAAGAAATGATGAATGCAATTGTACCTTTGTGATTGATTTTAATCCATGTCATTCAACGTCTGTAATTATATAATTCAAAGTGTTCTATGATCTTCAACTACGGAACAAATATGTATCGACGTTATTCAGACTAGTACTTGATGACTTAATGGATTGATGCCATATCTCGTGTTGTAACATTCATTTAATCTCAATACCAATTATTCTATGCATAATACAATATATTTGAACTTCCTAATGACTAGTAAGGTTTCATACCTATATAATTACCCCTTCTGCTCTTCCAGAAGTGTAAGGGGTAATAATACTATCCGGTTGCCTAAAACGAATTAGGTGGAGTTATGCTGAAATTTGTGACTTTGTGGCTAGAAGTTAAATGTTTCAATCATTAAATCACAATGGTAAGGTACAGCCAATTCATGATTACTGTTTATCAGGACTGAATAAAGCTACTGAGTGGATTTTACATCAATATCATGTTTAACTGACAAAGAGAATAGGATTTTTCGGCTAGTAAAATGAGTCATGTTGGTCATTTACTTTCCAATGGCGTTAACTCTAACTATCAATTTGGAATGTTTACTTTTATTTACACGTAATATTTACATATATATCACTGAATAAACAGTTTAATCATTATATCACTGTCTAGCTTCTATTAGAGAACCGTTGAAAACCGGAAAACACTAGAAAACCATTTCGTTATTGATCTGTGGTAAGAGCGAACATGTATTTAGCCTACTGACAATTAAATATGTGATATCGGCGAGACTACAATTTATGAACCAACCAATCACGTATAAGATAAGAGGTCTCGGGTTTTTGGCGCGAAATTCATTCATCCATTTGGTTAAATAGAGTTTGGGCATTATAGCTGATGTCAGACCGTGAGGAAAACCCGAAATGTAATTCCTTACCTTAATCGTCAACTGTAAATTATAATTCTAATTCGTCGAACAGGTTTAGAATCTTCATTTGGTCCTGTTTGTTAAGTGAACATCATCAAGGTCAGTCAAGCGTCACTGCAAGGTCGTCCATAAATTATCGTCTCACTGAATGTTCTTTGCAGTTAGAATTTTTAAAGTTTTATTCATTTAATTGTGATCTTATTTTATTCATCATGTTTTCTTACATGTAGGATTTTGAAAGTGATCCAGTTTTAAAACGAGAAATGCAAACTCTATTAGATACTTTAGTCACTTGTCCTCATTTAATGCCTAATGATCAAAAAGTAGTTAATCAATTATTACTTCAAATGATCTCTGATCAATTAGTACAAGATAGAATTGATCTTGATAGTATATTAACTCCAAGACAAGTAAGTCAATAATGTTTTTATTTATAATTAATCAAGTTATTTTGAGTCTTTTCTATGTTTTGATGTTTCGGATATTTTTTGCTAATAAAATCTACCTACTTATAAGTAGTTCACAAATATTAGCAAATAAAACAGAACGTCTTATCATCATAGGAAATTGAAATTGGTATACATCAAGTTAGTTGAGAAAAAAAAGATATTCGTATTCATCTCTATCCCGATTTGGGTAATGTGCCAAAGGATAACTAACTTTGTACATAAAACAAGGACTTTTGGCGGAGGAATCTTCTTCAATGAGTTTATCATCTACACAATTTCTTTGATCAATGGTACATTGTCTATAAGAATATTTAGTTTTAATAGACACCAACTTACAAGTATAGATTTTTTAAACAACATATTTTCCTTTGAACATTTTCATTGGTTGTGATCATGAGTCAATTGAAGCTTAACCACCATGGAAAACCTAGAAGCATTTGACGGCTCAGTGATCTAAAGGTTAAGCGTTTGAACGCGAGATCGATTGCTCCTGGGTTCGAATCTCTCACGGTGGGATCATGGATAAACACTGCTGAGTAGTCTCACAAAAGAACGAAACGGTCATTCAGTACTTCCATGTTTTCTATGGTGATCCATCTTCAATTGTCTGATGATCTCATCTATTGAAATCATTACAATCTCTACAAAACTCCCTTCTGATATTAAAATTCTCTTCATTTTCATATAAAAAGATTAAAATGAATAGATTTAATAAAAGTTTATCAGTAGTATATTACTGGTGTGTTTATTTTTTTTTTGTTTTTTTGGCTTAAAATTTATATTTCTTTATAATATTAGATTCCATCAGAGAAAAATTTTGATCAACTGTCTGCATTGGATATTTCAGAACAATTAACTTTTTTAGATTTTCAAATATTCCGATCAATACGTAGCGAGTAAGTTCATTTTTATTTGATTTCTTTAATCTATAACAAGATTACGGTTACCATCTTTATGCCTTACCTTCCTTCTTTACATGGGTTTGGAACCGGCGGTAAAATTATTGAACAACTTTAAAATAGGGATTCTATAAAAGATTGAATTCAATGTAGTTCTAAGTAATGAAGCTAATAGAACACTATTCAACCGGTCATTTGGAATACTTTCGTCTAATAATGTTCCTAATATGGATGGATTGATGGATTGATATATGGAACAAACAAAGCAAATCATACAATGATTCTCTATGTTGCGTGGTTAATAAAATATTATTTTCTAGATGAAGTCGTTGATCCCCCATGCCTAATCCTCCTTCTTTAGGACCGACAATAGTCTAAGAGGGGCTCCAGCCAGAGCTTTAATAAAATATAAGCATAAACTATTCATTGTAAATGAATTATTCACAGCTAACCAATGTCATCATTCATATATCCATGTTGACATCAATTAATTTATACACATAAGCATACATAATCTGGATAAAATAGATACTCATAGTCATTTATAAGTAATAAATAATCAAGCATAAATTTTTCATCATTCCAAGACACCACACTTGTTATAACTTGTAGCCTGTGTTCCCTGTTAATCTATAACATAAAGATACCGCCAATTAGGGATCAGTGATTTATCGTCCGGACCAATGACGTGTAAAACCCGTACGAGCAGTCGAGAGTCCTTATCGGTCCTTCTTACTGCCTAGCTCTGCCTGTTAAGTCCAGAACACAAATCTCAGCCTCTGTGATATGAATCGTATATTTCAAACATACTGGGTTTATATACAAACCAAACAGACCACACATCTTACCATAAAATAGGAAACAACATTTGTATGAGAATTAGCCAAATGTGGCTGTGAATGTGGGAGGTAGTAATCGATAGACAGGGTATAACTCAAGAATGGTAAATCATATAATGATGGTTCATAGGTTAAAATAAAGCTCATGAAATGAGGAACATGAATATGAATAGTCTAATTACTTAACAATTATACAATAAAAATATACGTATAGTATTAGTCCATAAGGGGATTCCAAAGTTACCATTCATTATGCTTATCAGGACATAACAATACCACACACAGCATACTGTGAGATGAGATTGATAAGATAAATACCAAGGTATTAATACAATTAATAACCGTATTGGTGATCATATAAAAAGATATTAAAATAGAGAATATGTTTCAAGACAAGTGAATGAGTTCATAGGATAAAATATTATTAAATCATTGAATTTATTAACAATTTACAATTGATTCATCATTAGGTGGTGATCAATGTTACATGTGTCAGGTCCTTCTTAGTGCAGATCAAATCCTATCAACCAAGTTGTAATATGCTGAGCAATCTAGATAACTTGACATTGCATGCACTATGTTGAGATAAGATGGTGATTGGAGATAGTCAACTGGAAACCCTGGACTATTTGGAGGTCATTCGCGGCCTGAATAGCATGGTGGTAACGTCTCTGACTATGAAACTGGGTGACATGAGATTGAATCCGTCAGGAAGCGTCAGTTCCCTCAAGATTACAGGTATACTTTGCTGACGAGTGTCAACTAGCACGAAACCTAGGTCCAGGGTTTCCTGTTCACTACCTGCAACCACCATCTTATGTCATCTGTGCTGTTTAGATTGATTCTTAGTGATTTCACCAGGCATCTCCAACCATTTATTACAAATATTGTAAGTATTCATATAAATGCCATTTTGTCTGGTTTTTAGTGAACATCGAGTTTGATTGATTAAGTTATAGTGTACTCATTAATCTACATGAATCAACATTGTATTCGTTATGCTTAGTGTTAGGTGGTCTAAGATAGTTGATAGGAAATCGTAGACCTAAAGTTCATGTTGTTCAAGACTCATCAACATAGACAAGACATATACGGAATTGATTACTATTTGGAGATCATTTAATGGTAATTATCTCTTACAATCCAGTTTTAATCCGTTTTTGTTATGATTGTTTCAATATTCTCATTGACTTTTTGGACTGACATTGATCAGGCTCTTTTTGGCACATGCGCATCCTGTGCAGATTACCTCTCACTAAGTCATAAGCATTATAAGTAGAGATGGGTGGTGGTTAGCAGCAGAGACTAATCAGTTAAAGTAGCTAAGTGGATAATGTGATGGCATTTGAAACAAACGACACTGAGTTCGAGTCTCTAAATGAATATCCACTCTTGGATGCAAGCACATCCATCTGATAAGTCCTAAAAGGGACGAAACGTACGTTCTAGATTACACTACTAGCCATCATCCAGTTTTGTATAAGTTTATTTGCTATAATTTTATATGAAGTTGAAAAATGTCTTTCATCTTATGAAAATGTATTTTTTTTGTTTAAAACAGGGAATTACTTAATCAATCATGGATGAAATTAGACAAAGAAGAGAAAGCTAAACATGTTCTACTTGTTTGTAAACGATTCAATGAAGTAAATCCTATTGATTATTGATTGTTTAATCTTTTCTGATGTTTTCTATTCACATAAAATTAAGTGATTCAGATTATTAGACAAAGTTACAACTTACATTATTATCAGAGGGGGCTTTGTCGAGATTGTAGTCATTTCAATGGTTAAAATCATGAGGAGTCCCACAATAGGACGAAAAGGCCGTCCAGTACTTCCAGGTTTTCCATAGTGGTCTAGCTTCAACTGACTCATGATCTCTTAACCATTGAACTTACATTATACTTTCTCATTGTATTACACTTTGAATGTGTATAGTGTGTATTTATTCACATAACTAGAATAGCCATATGATAAGCGTTAAGAGCTTTATTCATTCAACGGCTTATACTGATAGATGAACACTTATTTCATAGAACATCTCATCAATAGAATCATGAAGAAAAAACATCAAACCATAACCACAACATACTACTTATAGCAACTCACATTCAATTGAGTTTGCTCTCACCTAATTCTGTTAAGCCCTTTTATTAGCTTATTAAACGGACAAAGTCACCTGCACTATAATAACTCATTGTATCCTTATTACTGTTGCGAATGTATGTACCTTTATTATTGTTATCCTTGTATGAATACGTATACTCGGCAAGCCTTACTGCCTACGCATTTATTCACGCTACTAGCTTTACTATTAACCGCTTAATTGACTCGATGATTCATTCATTTCACTATGTATATATATGTCCATGTTATTCATATTCATGACTCGCTCGCTCGTTCATTCACTCGCTCGATCGCTCGCTCTTGCCCTTGCTCTCTCTCGCTGGCTCGCTTGCCTGTTTGCCTTTCGGCACAACTATTTAATGCTTGCTTAACGCATCTGTAATTTTGGATATCTGTGTGTGGTCCCTTAATAAACGTAATTAACGCTTCGTATTCGCCTTCTGATTAATATACCGTTGGAGCATTATTTGGTGACGGTTACCGAGACGTACTGTATACGGAGTTTAAGGAATATATCGAACACCGACCACCACATACTCACTATATCACTTCTGACTTCATATCATCCAGCCTGGATTAGTTGATACATCATTGATCAATAAAATCTGCTCGAATTAACATTTCGCATAGCATTAGTCTGTAGCTCTCTCTCTCTCTCTCTCTCTCTCTCTCTCTAAGATTTAACTATATTCATTTTAAGCCAACGAAAAGTCCTTCCACTACAAGATAAATATGATATACCCTTTATCATTAGGTAAGTGAGTGACTTGAATAAGGTAAATTCGACTGGGCAAATATGAAATTTTTTATGTATATTAAATCTAAAAGATCAATTTCATGGTATTTCCTTAAATACATTGAGGAACCTTACTAGAGGAATTAGATAGAGTTTGTTCATTTGGTAACCACATTAACTTACCAGGAAAAGAATACTCCATCGGTTACATCATAAAATATTATTACACCTTAAGAAGGTCATATGGTGAGGCTATAATTTATGAACGACCTTTGAGCGACGCTAGACTGACCTTGATGATGTTCACTTAACAACCAGGACCAGATGTGGATTATAAACCTGTTCGACGAATTAGAATTATAATTTACAGTTTATGATTAAATTTAGAAACTAGATCCCGGTTTTTTCTCACGAACTGACATCAGCTATAATGCCAAAACTCTATTTAACCAAATGGATGATTAGTTCGTTCATAAACTATAGTCTCGCCGGTCATATTTTTCTTCAGGTAATCACTCGAGTTTCATTCTTAATCAGAAAAATTGTCTTGGAAAAGCAAATTCTTCGATCATCCATTTCCTTACCATTTCTTGTATTGTTCAGAAGATTCAGCCGATACTAGTTAAAATATAACTTAAACTTTTTGGTATTATTCACATGCTTTTTTTGATCTCTCATTTATTGATTCAGGTTAGCCGCCTAGTTGTTTCTGAGATAATATCACGAACAGATTTAAATGATCGAGTTATGTGTATTGATAAATGGGTTGCTATCGCTGACATTTGCCGGTGTATGCAAAATTACAATGGTGTATTACAAATATGTTCAGCATTAGTCAATAGTTCTGTATATCGACTTAAACGTACCTGGGAACGTGTTAGTAAACAAACAAAACAGTCAATTGATCGTTTACAAATGCTTGTTGCATCTGATGGACGATTTAAATCAATGCGTGAAGCTTTACATAGGTATGTTAGATTGACAAATATTTTGTTTGGTTTCTTTCATCAGTGGAAGCTGAAGTTGATCAGTTGTGAATATGATATGTGTAAAGCATTGATGTAAATATATTGATGAAGGTCAGTAGTAAGTTGAAACCACCATGTGAACGTAATATCTAAAATTAAGTATTCAGTGAACCATACTTGAATGATAAAATATAACGTTTAGTTATTTATCTCATTAGCTCATTTAGCGAAACTATAGTTTATTGATGAGCCAATCGGAAGTGTTTGACGGATTTTAAGGTCATAAAACTTAAAAACTTATTTTCTCTACTCATTTACTCACTTACGCCTGTTACTCCCAATGGAGAATAGGCCGCCGACCAGCATTCTCTAACCTACTCTGTCCTATGCCTTTCTTTCTAGTTCTATCCAACTCTTGTTCATTCTTCTCATGTCTGTCTCCATTACTCGGCGTAACATGCACTTTGGTCTTCCTCTTCTCCTTTGACCTTCAGGATTCCCTATGAGGGCTTGTCTTATGATGCAGTTGGGTGCTTTCCTGAATGTGTTTCCTATCCATTTCCAGAACTTCTTTCTGATTCCTTCGTCCGCTCGAATCTGGTTTTTTCTTTCTCACAGTTGGTTATTGCTGATAGTGTCTGGCCAACGGATTCGAAGTATTTTGAGTAGACAACTGTTAATAAACACTTGTATCTTGTGGATGACGGTTTTCGTAGTTCTCCAGGCTTCCGCCCTATACAGTAGAATTGTTTTGATATTTTTGTATTGAAAATTCTGAATTTGGTGTTGGTTGCCAATTGTTTTGAATTCCAGATGTTCTTTAATTGTAGATATGCTGCTCTTGTTTTGCCTACCTGTGCATTCATATCTGTATCAGTTCCACCGTGTTGATCAATGATGCTGCCCAAATATGTAAAGGTTTTTACATCTTCCAAATCTTCGTCGTTAATTGTGATTCGATTGATGCATGCTGTGTTATATCGGATATTACAAATATATTATTTATTATTTTAATAGTAGTATCATGTTATAATCTTTTAATTCAATAATCCGAATAATATATACTCACTTGATAAACGATTACCTATTGTCATATATCAATGGTTGCTTCAATTTGTTCGAGATTTTTTCCGTCAAATTAATCGTATCATAGGGAATATTGTATATCTGAATCGATCTTGTAGATATAGACAGTCTTCCTGGATGTTTTAAACGAACTTTTTTCTTAATATTTATTACATATGAATTCCATGATCATAACAGAACAATTAATGAATGAAGAAATTTCAACTATCAGCTATTATATCATTGTCATGATTTATTGGTTATATTCTTAGGTTAATATAGTTTCCTATACAATCTGTTTATGATTTCTACTTCCATTATCTAAGACTTGAAAGGATAAACTAGTATATAAATTAATCATTAGATCGTACCAGTATCTACGATTGATATAATTGGTTCTAGCAAACTATTCCCATAATTTATTATTAAAAGGGTAGTATAGAGATTGTTAGATTTAACGTTAGATTTAACATCAAAGACTAGCTTCTCGTTAATCAACCATTAAAAATCGAAAATGACTGGATGATGATTATGCAACATCATGAATTTGATTAGACTTGAAAAGACAAACCATTAGATTCTAGTCTAGAGGTTGAACACTAGTTGAGAGATATGAATGTCTTTGTTGTGACTTTAAAGCCGGCTAGTTATCACGTGATTTATTCACCAATCAAAATACGACTTATACAATGTTAGCACGGTGCCAAACCAATGACGTTCGACCGGTATGAGCGGCCTAGCGTCCTTATTGGTTCTATGTTCGCCTAGCCCCATCCACTTGAGTCCAGAACATCAATACCAGCTTCCATTATGCGAATCGAATCGAACCATTTATTTCAGACATACTGGGTTTATATATATGAACCAAACAGACCACAACTCACCATTAAATAGGAAATAACATTTGTACACAATAAAGCCAAACAGTGGCTGTGAACGTGGGAGGCAGTAGTCAATAAACTGAACATAGCTTAAGAACACTAAGTCGTACAATAATACATTATAGATCAAAATAAAGCTTATAAAAAGGGGAATATAGATATACATAATCTATTTATTGAATAGTTATACCATAAGAATATATAAATAATATTAGTCTATTAATAGATCTCTGACATTACTCGTAATGTAATCTTCACTAAGATATAACAGTCTTAAGTTCGATTTCTGATGCATTTAAGGCTTAGGATTAGTGTAGAATCTCATATCAGAACGAAATAACTGTCTAATTCATACTGAATTTTAATATTTGCCTAACCAATAATACCAGTCAATAATGTGAAACTTCATATCTATTTGTTTTGCATATTAACTTATCTTTAGATGTGATCCTCCTTGTATTCCTTACCTTGGAATGTATTTAACAGATTTATCATTTATTGAAGAAGGTGCATTGAATATTACAGAGAATAATTTGGTCAATTTTTGTAAAATGCGTATGGTATGTAATGAAATAATAATATTTTTTTCTAAAACAACACTATTTAATCTTATTGCCTTTAATAAATAATTGATTAAATTGTGTAATTTTCATAGTTGAATGTATTAGTTAATTGAAGCTAGACCGTCATGGAAAACCTAGAAGCAATGGATGGCGATTTCGTCCTAGTATGGGACTCCTCAGTAGCAGTGCGCATCCACTATCCCGTCCAGCGAGATTCGGATCCAGAACCAATCAGTCTCACGCGCGAACACTTAACCACCAGATCACTGAGCCAGCATTCAACGGTGTTAATGTCCAACTTCAACTAGTCCACGAAATTGAGCGACACAGCCACAATTCTTTTTAGTGAGTTACTATCTCACAATAGACCCGATTGAAATCCACTGGTCATGGCTTCTCACTAGAACTCCAGGAAATACATCTTGAAGCCAATCACTAATGAGCATACAATGATTATTATCAGAAGGGGTTTTGTGGAGATTTTAATATTTTTATAGTTGAATCCATCAGTCAATTGATGCTAGACTACCATCGGATACCTGATAGGTCCTGGGTTCGAAATTCGCAGGGTGGGATCGTAAATAATTTATGTTAAGAAAAGTTTTTTTTTAGAGGATCTTTAGAATTCATTTCTCCTCTGTTGATCGATACTGGGTTAAACCTTAGAACATTCAGCATATTTATATGATTATCACTCTATTGAATAAGAATTTTAATAGCTAACTGTTTTTTGTTTTTCAATATATTCATGATGTTTTAATCAAACTTAACGAATCAATCAATGTTTAGATTGATTTATTTCTAGTGAGGCCCTTCATTTTGACATCAATTAGATCGGATAGTGTTACTGACGGGTTCACCAATTTTGTGGCCCAGGATCTGACTCCAATTAGGTCATATGAATGATTACTGTCGAAATATACATATCGTCATTCCTCGTATATAATCATCAACTTAACTCGCATTAGTGAATAACGGAATTAAATAAGTTAAATACGAGAATGGATGTTTGAATACATATATTTTGTACACTCGTTGATTAGAACAGACAATCAGAGAACCGCAGCGAATGAAGCGAAGAAGAGAGAGCGAGTCGAAACAAAAGGTTGTGTGGTGGAGAAAGCATGAGAGCCAATTCCATTTAATCAAGCGTTAATCAATATTTATAGTCACACAAACATAAGCTGTAGACATGTGATGAGTAGGATAAGAAGTGCACACACACACATACGCTCATATAAGAACAGTCAGGATTAATAAGTGAATAACTAACAAGGTCTAAATGTGACTCAAAAAGAATGAATAGATTGGCCTATCCGTAATCCAGAATAAACGGGCACTACATATTATATGTTAGGACACGATGATAACTCTTCATTACACTTCAATATCATAAAACTAATTCTTCCTTTACTCATACCCATACAAATCCTACTTGGTAATAACTTAAAATGATCAATTCATATTGGATTTTATCCAATGTTAAACCGATCATACAGATTAATGATTAGCCAAGGTATCTACCGTACTGATATAATATCACTTGTTATGAGAATGGGTTTTGTGGATATTATAGTGATTTCAGTGGTTGAGATCATGAGTCAATTGAAGCTAGACCACCATGGCAAACCTGGAAGCACTGGACGGTCGTTTCGTCTTAGTATGGGACTCTTCAGCAGTGCGCATCCGCGATCCCGCCTCCCGCGAGCTCACTATTGACTGACTTCAAGAAACATTTCCTGGAGTTCTAGTGAGAAGCCGTTACCAGTGGAGTTCAACCAGGTCTGTTGTGCGATATCAACTCACTGAATACAATGATGTACAGTGGCGAAACTTTGTGGATTGGTTGAAGTTAGACATTGGATGCTGGCTCAGTGGTCTAATGGTTAAGCGCTCGAGCGTGAGACTTATTGGTCCTGGTTTCGAACCTTACGGGTGACGGGATACCATACTAGAACAAAACGGCCGTCCAGTGCTTCCAGGTTTTCCATGGTGGTCTAGCTTCAATTGGATTATGATTTCAACTATTAAAATATCACTACTAAAAATCGATTGAGTACAAAATCACTTATGGAATCACTGTTAAAGGTTCCATAAAATAATAAGATGATTGATTACTCAAATACTTTCTTAATTGAAACATCAATATTCCTGGAATAGTTTGAAACAAGATGAAAATTGTCTTAGATTTCACATCTAGATATTTATCTATCTGTTTGATAAAAGACTTTAAAAAAATATTATTCTATTTATTTTCTTCTCATTACAGATAGCTCATGTAATACGTGAAGTTCAACAATTTCATCAAACACCATATCTTATAACACATAGACAAGAAGTAAGTACTATTCACACATTCAATTTAATATAATCATATACATTATTAGTAATAGAAAGGTACTATTTGCATTGTTACCATTTACAAAGCTTAACTCGATTATCATTGAAAATCTTGTACAATTAGATGACTATTTCATTATAGATGGATACTTCTAAGAAGTTTTGTACTTAGGAAAAAAAAATACAATGTTCAATGATTCTAGGTTTTTTTTTAATAATGATCTAACTTAGATCAGTTCATCATTTAAATGTAATCTGACAATCTTCACAATCCCCCAATAATGAAACAAAATTAATCCAAACTAAATTGGTATCATTACCAAAGTTGGATTTGATCATTTGAGCAGTGGATAGATTGTTAGAAATCAATCAATCAATCAATATATTTGTAATATCTAAATGAGTAGAAAGAAATTAGATTTTCTGACGTTTCGTGACTTAATGTAAGTCACTTCTTCAGAGTACATCAAATTAATTCAAGTTTAAGTAGTACAAAGGAACAAAACAAGAATATTATGTGCGATCAATCAAAAAAACAGGTCATGTCATTTCGGTCAAAGTGATACATAAGTGATATGTATGTATGTAAGTTTGTGTGTATGTATGTATGTGTGTACTGTTTCAAGATGAAAATTGTTGTGTGACATTTATCATGAGAAAAAACAATAGAGTTTAATTTGTAAGATGATAATGTGAAATTGTAAATAAGATCAGACTGAATGGCTAGGATAGATAGTCCAAGTAGGATGTATGGTAAGGCCTTCTTTTCTATTAAGCATTATATGGAACACTTCAGCTACTCTCCTTTCTTTGTAATTGGAAAAGCCCTTTATATAATATTTTGATATTTTTGAAATCAATTTAGTGGTTGTTGTAAATGACATGAACTGCTATTGCCGATTTAATTTGAAGTTGGTTCAATTCTACATGGTTGTTAGGAGGTTTCTTTGTGTACCTAAGATGTTCTTTGGCTCTAGTCAAGATTTCTCAAGATAACTCTCTAATATAGAAGGCATCACAATCGACATGAAAGGGATATTTTTCTTTTAAGTGAACGTAAAGTATTACGAAGTGTGTTTGTTGTTTTGTAATATACTTTAATTCTGTGTTATTTTAAGATCCTTTGAAGTTCTTCTATTGTGCCATAACGGTATGGTAAAACTACAGTACTAATCCGTGGCATATCATTCGAATTGCTATTATAACGTTTTAAACCGTTTTGTTTTAATATACTTCTGATAATCTTCATAGGAAACTTATTAAATTGTATTGAATGCGAATTACATTCTTTTGTTCTTTGTTTGTTTGTCTTCTTCTGATGTGATGATCTTGTTAGCTCATCTAAAAAGATTTAAGGCTAACGAGATCTTAACACTGAAAGGATGTGCTGAATAGAAGTCAGTTTAGTGATTAGAGTATGTAGGCTTTCGGTAGATGGATAGATTTAGAATTCCATTTAGATTTCTTTTCACTAAACAATCTAAGAATAGTGGCTCATCATATTCAGTTTGATTTTTTATTCGTGAATTTGATATCAGACCGAAATGACATGACATTAACTTGTTCAGATCTGTTTTTTTTTTGATTGATCGCACATAATATTCTTGTTTTGTTCCTTTGTACTACTTAAACTTGCATTAATTTTGATTTACTCTGAAGAAGTGACTTACATTAAGTTACGAAACGTCAGAAAATCTAATTTCTTTCTACTCATTGGGATATTAAAAATATATTGATGGACTGATTGATTTGTGGAATAATCATTGTAAAATGTTAATGTCACTTTTATATCCTGGTTTTGATAATAATAATTCTTCTATTACTAAACATTGTTACCGTAGAAACCTATTATTGTCATATTTGAATTACCATCTATGTTATTTAATTGATTGTTTTATTATAAGAAATTGCTAATCAATTTTTCTTTTCGTTCAATATATATCTTTTTATATTATCATCAGTAATTTTAAATAAAATCGATCAGTATAGGTAACTACAGTTATCTCAATGAATGTTCATCTTACTTCAGATATTCCCTTTAAATTATTATTCATTATAATTTTGTATCGTTTGAAATGTTTAAATACTTGAATTCATGAATTAATCTAAATTAGAACATCATTGAAAACTTGGAAGGATTGTACGATTGTTTCATCGTAGCATGAGACTCCTCAGAAGTGCTGATTTAAGATCCTCCATACAACATCGTGTATAATCATCATGCTCTTATTGGTGATTAGTTTTAAGATGGATTACCTAGAGTTCTAGTGAGAAGGCTTGACCAGTGGAATCCAATCTGTATAGGATGTGAGACAGTTATCTACGTTAGACAATGAATGAAGGGTTGTGCATTAGATACCGGTTGACTGGTCTAGATGTTAGACATTCGCGCACGAGACAGAGGGTTCTAAGTTCGAGTCCAAAGTAGGGTATCCTGAGTGCGCACTGCTGAGGATTTCTATACTAGAAAGAAACGGCTGTTCATTGCTTACAGGTTTTCAACGATGATCTAACTTAAATGGACTCATGGATTCAACTGTTAAAATACCACAGTCAATAAAAATCCTTGTTTTGAAATGTGTTTTCTTTTAAACTAACAATGTCCAAGTGATTACATTGTCATACTAGATTGCTCTTGTAATCATATAATAATATCATAAATCAAATTAACCATATTTGAATGCTCCATAGATCATTGATTACTGAAGTGGTAAGAGGCAGTTTGCATACTGTCAGTATATACTGATATCATAAACACAACAGATAAACGTCATTATGAATAGTCTCAGTAACATAATTTGATTGGTCGTATATACCACATAGAAATCTTTTCCAGAAACCTTTAGAATTCGAATGTCACCAGTATTCATGTAAACATTTATTGATTTTTATAAACAGACTAACTCTGGGTGTAAAGCTTTCAATGTACAATTCATAATTCGTTGAATAGTTATCGATTTTCTTATTTATTCAATAATTCTTTTGGTCAAGTTGTATTGTGTTCACTCATCATAGTGACGTGATATCGAATACACTTTGTGACGAAATCAGGTGACTGCTGATGATCGAAAAGAAACTATAGATTTAGATTTCTTACTAGTTAGCATTCATCAATAAGGCTTAATTGTATTCTATGGGGGACTATTTCACTCTGATATATTCAAACCTGCGTCTTACGACATTTTATCTTGAGTAACTCAAACTAGTAGCCAAATTTCAATGTCATCGAAGTCATTTAATGAGGAATATAAAACTAAACAAACCTGATATTTTTCACCACTCAGTGATCTTTCTATTGTATATTTCTCAGCTTCATATGCAGTTAGTCAAGGCTCAGATAACTTAACATTCATGTTTCACACTGTGAAGTTTCATAAATCACAAAAAGAACCGGCTAATCAAAGATTATAAGTAGATCAACTAGAACCAAACTTCATTTCAGTGAAGTATGAAAGATTACAATAATCTAGAAAATAATAAAAATTTTAGTACCATAAGTATTTGATGCACTGAACTTATGGATTTTCGGTGAGACTGTAATTTATGGATGAACCAATTAAATTTACAATAACAGGTTTTGAATTTTGTCTCGAATTCCACTCATCCATTTGGATTGGCAAAGCAAGGGCCTCATTCCTTCAATTAAACAACATGTGGAACTTAAAACAACTTTCAACTAATATCAAAGTCAGAACCTTCAATATCAACGTCAAGTTAGTTCTACTGTATGGAGCTGAAACGTGAAGAACTACAACAACCACCATCAAGGAGATACAAGTATTTATCAATAGTTGTCTACGAAAGATACTCAACATCCATTGGCCGGATACCATCAACAACAGCCTTTTGTAGGAGAGAACAAACCAGCTTCCAGCTGAAGAGGAAATTAGGAAAAGACGATTGAAATGGATAGGACATACATTGAGGAAATCATCAAACTGCATTACGAGACAAGCGCTAACTTGGAATGCTGAAGGAAAGCGGAAAAGAGGAAGTCCAAAGGAAACATTACGTCAGTAAATAGAATCAGACATGAAAAGGATGAATAACAACTGATAAGAGCTGGAAAAGATTGCCCAAGTCAGGGTTGAATGGAGAATGCTGTTAAGCGGCCTATGCTCCTTCACGAGGAGTAACAGGCGTAAGTTAGTAATTAAGTAAGTTTGATTAAATAGAGTTTTAGCATTATAGTTGATATCAGTTGGTGATGAAAACCCTGAAATCTAATTCTTAACCTTAACCATCAACTGTATATCATAATTCTAATTCCTCATACACTGGTATATAACCTTCATTTAACTATTGTATGCAAAAGGATATTTCCAAGATCTGTTTAGTATCAATTAATGGTCATCCATTAATTATAATCTTATTAAATATTCTTTTTTATCTATTACTTTTTTATTTAGGTTACTGATTATCTATTAGATCCATCACGATTACTTGATGAAGAACAAACTTATCAAGCATCATTAACGATTGAACCAAGACAATCAATTAATCGACAATCATTATCAGGATTTACATAATCAATGAATCAATCAATCAATCAATCAATCGATCAATCATATTATATTGAAATTAGAAATAGAGATATTGATTATTTTCTATATTGAAACAAATATAAATGTATAAATAATCGCCTTGTTGTCAACTGGTTCTTTTTTTACATTATATTCTTTCTTTTTTCTCTTTTCTTTTTTTTATACTTTTCTTTTATCATTTAAGTAGAATATATGAATTAGAATGATTGATTGCCATGGTGATCGGGGTTTCTTTTTTTGTTTGTTTGTTGTTTATTACGTAATCATTATTTGTGATTATTCAATATGACCATTGTACATTCCATAATAGAATTTTTTTTTATTCCATTCAGTTTTCTTTTTATTTTTGTTTGTTTTTTGTTTTAGTTTTGGATAGAAATGTTATTTACATTTGAATTCTTTTAATTCTATCTATGATGCACTATTAGTAGTTATAACTATTTATGGTGGATTTTTACTTTTGGTGATCTTTCTTTGATTTATGGGTTGTTTATTTTCTTTATTGTATGTGTGCTCATATCATTTTGGTCATCAATATGATCCGTCTTTCCCTCCCTCTCCCCCTCTCTTTCTCTCTCGCTATATATATATATATATATATGCATGTTTCGTTGGATTGTTTCCTCTTGTCTGTTTCTATGCAACATTCCACTATTATTTTTAATTTGTTCAAAGAAAAGAAATACTTTTTCCATTAATCAGATTATAGATTCCTAAATTTGTTATTGTTACTCTTTCTCTTTTATATGTATTTTTTTCATATTTGATCATTAAAAGAGCGCCGATTTGAATTTTGAACATAATGTGTTTATTGAATATGCTGCATTTTATGTTATTATTATTATTGTTGTTGTTGCTATGCATTTATTTTTGTTGCTATGTCTCTTTTCCTATACATATATACGTATGTAATTGTAAACACATTCAATATATTCAACATAATAATATTAAATGTTAAATTATTTTATTTATGTGTAATTTTGTAACTATGATAGTTTACTACTGATTGAATTGATCTTTTTTCTTTGTGATAGAAATATGTTTTTTTTTCTAGAATAAATCATTATTTCTTTGTTTGTTTGTTTGTTTTTTTCATGTCAAATTCCTATTTAGTTCTCCGGTTGATATTTCTTCTTTTTTTCTTTTTCTCTTTTCTCAAAAATATTATTTCACTTCTCTTTAGATCTTATATAATTTTTTCCATTATTATTATTATTACATATATGTATATTTAATTGTTTTACCGAAAAGAAAAAAGAAAGAGAAAAATAAAAAAAGAAAAAAGAAAAACAAGAAAAAAGAAAAGTTTAATTTTATTTTTATGTTTCCATAGAAGAGATTTTAAAAAAAATAATCGATATATATATATATATATATATATATATATATATATATATATATATATAGCTTTATATTATGTTAATTGTGATTTAATTCTTGTCAATGTGTATTACATGTATTGATTGCATTTCTTTTTTGCCCCGTTTTATTTCTCTCTTTTTTTGTTTTTGTTTGTTTTTTTTTTCTAAAACTAAAATGTATATTAGATAATAATGAAGTTAATGAAATTAAACAGATTTTCAATTATGTTTTATTCTTATCATATAAGAGTTCTTTGGTTGGTTATTTGGTTGGTTGGTTGGTTGGTTGGCTGATTGTTTATTTAATTGGTCGGTTGTTTGGCTGGTTGTTTGTTTCGGTGGTTGGTTGGTTGGTTGTCTGGTTGGTTACTTGTTTATATTTTATTATTTGATTTCATATTTCAATGATATTTACAAGTTTAATATTATCTAATGTATTTTATTGTGAAGACAAATAGAGTAAATAATAGAATGAATACATTGAAACTATTTCATATCGAAATTGAACTGTATGTATTAGAATATAGTAAACTAAAGGCAATGATTAATTGTTTGTTTGTTTTTTCATTAATATAATTGTGATAATGAATAGGATACAATCAGTCATTTAGTCAGTCAGTCAGTCAGCTATAACGTAGGACCAGACACATATAGACATCGGTTCAGGTTTATAGAACTAGTTACTTCAATAATAGATTGTGTATAAGGATATACTACAGCGAAAAAAGAACTAGTTCATGGAAAACAATTTTAATCTCACTGTTTAAAAGAAAAAAAATGAGTGTATACACCTACGTTATTGTGATCGATTATCAGCTATGTCACCCAGAATCTTCAACCATTGGTTATGATAGTTACGCGGATCACAACCAAGTAGTCTGTATTTACCAACATGACTCCAAACACTAATGGCACGTTTTTGGTTTTGTCGTCCCAAACTTTCTTCTAACCATCCCCAACACCAGTTAGCATTGTGGGTCGTGGTAATCGGTGTTCAGGCATACGCATTCACAACCTCATTAACTAATTTATCATCATTCCCTAATACCCTGCGTCTAGCCTCGCTATGACTTACCCGATGATCCCAAAAGATGCGAATAATATTTCTAATGCATCTGTGGTCGAATACTAGTAGCTTACGAATATCTTCTGATTTTAATGGCCGCGTTTCGCAGAACGAACTGTCGTGCAGTATACTCGTTCCTTAATTGATAGACGGATAATTCGACTTTGCCATAGGTGACGTAAGCTGTTAAAAGCCAAACGAGCTTTCTGAATCCGTGCAGAGATTTCGTCAAACATCAACCCATAAGAGCTGATAAGACTACCAAAATAAGTGAAGTTGTCGATTCGTTCAACTACTATCCGACCGTTGAAGCAACCTTGATGTTGTGATCGAGCTTGTCTATCGTGATGAACCAATCGAGCTATACTGGTTGAAAAAATTGTTCCTCAATGCCCTACCATGCCAGACAGGTCGGTTGAAGAACGGTAAGACTAAAAGCTGCAAACTCAAGGTCCGAAGTCATACTGCTAACTGTACAGAAGTGTGACGGCAGTAAAGTGTTTCTTTCAAATAATCAGCATAACAGCGATGCTGCCTTTCCACAAGGAGAGGTGATGTTAGATAAGGTCAACCCTAAAAATGCACACTTCGCCTTATCCCACGGATTTCCGTCTCCGGTGTTAAGGTTCCAATAAGTATATAGCTAACACAAAAATTACTCACACAAAGGTCGTGTGTGACCGACCTCAAGTAATTGTCCCTTAGGCACTGCGATCACGCTATCAGGTCACTAAGATCACCCCTAACCCTATTTCCTTTTCAGGTACTTCCAGTAGAACCCTTCCATGATGTGGGCAACCAGGAAGTGATAATTGCCCTCATACCTCTAACAGCACTCAAGATTACTAAACAGTATACAGTCCTTAGAATATCAAATGAATTGTAATTATTAGTAATTGCTGATAAAAAGTTAAAGGGGGGGAGGGTCAGCATAGTAAAGTAAGCAAGCAAGACTAAAACTTCTTCAACTTATTGTATGATACATGTTATACAATTAATTAATGAACATTTTCTGTAACTTCTTTCTTTATAGAAGATGAAAATGAATTAAATTAGGGGGAGTTGTAACAGGTATTTCCAGAAATTCTTTCAAATCATATGAATAGTTTACAAAATTATTGAAATAAAGTCTCATAACTTTATTCATCATCTTTTTTCCAGCATTTAGTATATTGTGGTTCTAAATTAATTATAAAGCTTGAAAGTATTTTGATTATCATGAACGTTAGCTTATATAATGTTATATTGTAGTATTGTAGTAAACGAGAACACATGTAGGGACAATTGAATGTATTTAAATACAAAATTAGATAACATCTTAACAAAATCTAAACACGCACCACACTCATTCTTCCTTTAAATCAGTCGTTCTTTCGGCGGTTATGCTCGCCGTACCACTTTCTTTTCTGCAATCTGTGCAACGCTTTCTGTTTAAATGTCAAGTCTGTGGTGAGATGAAACCTGATTGTTCCTTCAGCCTGCCGGGCCATCAAAATCCGACGTACACCCACAACCCGATACGTTCAACAGCTGCGTTCAGCTACCTGCTGAGCCATCAGATCTAATGTCCGTCCAGCCGCCGAACGTCTCACTGCTCCTCTCCATGGACACCACCCATCTATCGATATCAGCAGCACACACCACAATATTACTAAATATGAGCTAACACTACGTTGAACTCTTTTAAAATGACTGAAAGTTTTATAACCCAATTATTCTACTCCAAATGACTAAAGAAGTTACAGTTGAGAGTCAGTAATAAAGGCTCATTGAAAGATGTGCTTCATTAAAAGTATGATACTCTATATCACTTGATAACTTAACAAGATATTTATCTTATCCAAAATACTTATGAGTATTTGTTATATGAACATATTTTTCTAATTAAATGCTTGAAGTAAGTTTGCCAATCGATAGTTTATGTCAATGACAAATGATAGACAATTATTTACGAGATTCGATTTGTCGATTCGTTAGTGATGATCTCTGTCTGAATGGTAATTAAAAGAGAACAATTATCCTAAAAAAGATACGTATCATATTTACTTTGACGGCTCAACGACGGAGTCAACAAGAATCACGCCATTGAGTATAGAGTTCGATTTCTAGTTAATTAACAATCCATATTGTGTTTTATAGAGAAAAAAATTTGCACACTTTTCCTCGTATCGATTAATTTGAGTCTTTAATCCTTGCTCCGTACCCGAACAGAAGAAAGCAAGGAAAGAATTGTGAAAACAAACATCATTATCGGGGTTGATTCAACCACAGGAATAAAAAGTATTTCAGTAAATAACCTCAAATCTATCCATATCTATGTGTTTTTGTGTAACCTTGGTAATGTATAAGCTTCCAAAAACATGCCAAAATCACTAAGAACATAAGTAACTATCTAATCTGAATGTGAGACAAATTTCTTTGTTTTCTAGGAAGTTCCTATTTACCGTTTGTTAAACAAAATATTTTAGCCTCTTCGGGGGGTTGTAGTGACCTACTTTTGTCAACAGAACGCGATTGGTTCGATGAAAACAACTATTATTATAACCAATTGTACCAGTGACTGTTTTACTGTGCTCGTTTGTTTAACTGCGCTAATAACAGCCATATTGGTCTTCCATTGAACTCCATTACTTCTGCGCGCTTCCTGACTCTATATGCACGTCCTTCTTCCTGCCGAGTCTGCTTGTACCGTTTTGGCACGATCCTGGTATTCGTTCAATACCACGAGATCGCCAACAAATAAACTTGGTTACGATCTACATTGCCTTCTGATTTACTTGGTACGCGCTCGATTTGTAGTGGTGCTCATAGTCAAGCTCAACTCGACACCACGCTACAGGGTAATGAAGGCTTCTTGGAGAATTTTCGAAAGGTATTAATATATTTGTTAGGACAATTATAAAAATATTCATCATTCCAGACAATGTTTCGATATTTTTATACAGACCGCATACCCCACTTAAACTAAAACCCAGGGACATATTTAAAATGAAATCAGCTAAATGTTTAACAATCAGATGTAAAAGGACCAGTTTTAAATAGACATGAAGTTATCGTAAATAGGTCCAGAATTGATTGGCTGACGCGGACCAAAAGAGGAAAGACCGACTTCAAAGAGGTTTAGTAAGAATAGAAGCTTAAGAAATGCAATCTCCCCTTTCCCACGCTCTCCAAGTGAGACAGGCAGCGAACGTCTAGAAAACATAATCCTAAGGCCAGGTTTGTTTTTATCAGGACAAACAACAACATGATCACTCAAGTCATCGACACTCATCCAGGATCTCGTAGTGTGTGCAACGTGACTGTGACTGTTGCTCCAGCGAAGCCGATGGATGGGTGCAAATCAAGAATACGGAACCCCCTTATGTCGTTAAAGAAAAGCCAGTCTTCCAAACACTAATTGACAAGTCGAACGCCGATTACAGTGACAGAACAGTCGTCTTTCATAGTCAAGGAAAGTAAAGGCTAGGAACCCAAAACTCTCTTTGAGCATGACACTGAGTTGATAACAGATCTACTTAAACAGATAACACTTGAAGATATCTCTAGGGTCACCTTGCTTAAGGTCTGTAGACCAGGTAGCCAAACAGACTTGAAACAGAATAAAGTCAGGGTGCTAAAAGTGGTATTTAAATCTCCCAGCGAAAGAAACTTAGTGCTACAGGACGGATATGAACTAAAGCGGTTAGACATCTTTACCCCTGAAAAATTATGACCTTCATACCGTATGAAAAGACGAGAAGCCGAAGAGGAACTAAGACTAAGGTTGAGTGTTAGCGAGAAATACCTTGGAATTGTGAATTTTCTTGCGGCTGTGAC